ATTAAATGATGAAGGCTATATGAGATAAAGGTTTGTTGTTATAATGCAGGTTTTGGTTTGAAATTCAGATAGGCAAAGTTATAAAATAGTTTGATATTGTTTGTAAAGGTGAGCTAAAAGTTAGGCATGCATTCATTACATATGATACTTTTAATTATTTTGGACTGATCACCCAAAAGTTTTAAGATATTCTTGTGCATTGATTGCGTAGGTTTGTGAGATTGTAAAGTATTTTGTTAGATATTGAATGAATATTGAAATATTATATGAATATTGTGTAAACATGGTACTAAAATAAATAATATTAAGGGGAATTATCCTTCGTTCGATCATGGTGCATACTAGATATCTCTGTGAGAATAGTTGGAGACATTAATAAGTCTTAAAATTATCCCTTAATTTAAATGATTATTGAAAATAAATAAATATTATTATAAAGTGCGCGCACATGTTATAAAAGTACCATGATTAAAATATTATAAAATGAATTAAGTCGACTATAAATAAATAAAAAAAATGACTTGTACATGTAGTAGATCTACTAACTATTAAAACATGAGGGTGGCCACCTCATAAGAATTGTTTATGTACTTATCTCGGAAATGGAAACTTTAATGGATATGACTTAGGACTAGTACGAATTAGTACGAAATACTTGGATGTGACTTTATTTTAAATATGAATGAATATTACATAACAGTTTAAATAGTCGTCAACAACACGTTTAGATTAAGATTTTTTTTAAATATTTTTAACACTTCACTTGTTATGGTTATTTGACACGGCTGATTTAAATAATATGTTTTTTGTTTTAATTTACTCAATCTTATATCTTGGATTTATTATGGTGTCAAGTAACCAATTATTAAAATGTATACAAAACGTTTTTTTCTCAAATCTTATCTAACTATATTTTTTTTTCTTTTTCTTAACTTTAAAAAAAAAAATAAAAAAAAACGGGGGAGGTGTAGTATGCGCGTCACGCACGCACACACTCACATTCCTTACATAGTATATAAGGTTATACACTATTAATAAATGGGCTCTTAATACGCAGTCAGTCTACTTATTTAATCGTCCCAACGCCCAACGTTGCATTGTCAGTATGTCGTATTGGCGCGCGGTCACATACAAACCGCGCTCGGTGCGTTTCTATGAAGATGACCTACTCATTTGTATTTACTCTGGTATAACCCGTGTCGTGTCCTCAGCGGCGGAGCGGACGGGTTAGACGCGGACGAAGCGGCCGAGGCGGGTTCGAGCGCGTCTCCGGGCGGCAGCGGGGCGCGCTCGCTGACGCCGCCGCCGCCGCGCACGCCGCCGCGCCACCGCCACCGCCACCGCCACCGCCACGCCGAAGCCCCGCCCGAACAACACACGCCGCAGGCGCCCAGGGACCCGGTACGATTACATTGTTTACCTTTTCCGTCTAAAGCCTGGTCCGTGAGCACGTAGAATCCCGTCCAATGACCCCAAGCTGCCCGTCCTTGTCGCTCGCACGTAATTATGTTGCTGTCGCGCTCACTGCGGGCGCCCGTCGCACGGACCAGTCTTTAACACTGTACATTAAAAATAATAGGGACGTTTCTTAGTTTAAAAAAAAGCAAGAGTTTGAATAAGTCCGTCAGTTAACTTATCAAAAAATACTCGACACGTATTTTTCACTTTTTCAAACTAATGAAAATTTAAAGAGAAAACGCCCCAAAGTTCAAAAGAAGAGGCCCGTGACGTAAATGCGTATCACTTTGTGACGTCACACGGAACTTCAACGCATCAGAACTTCGTAATCACTTAGTTTTGTTTGATTGAGAAATAAAAATATACGTGTCCAATATTATTTGATAATGTAATTGAAAGACTAATGCCCGTTTTCACCATCAATCCCTAATTTTTAAGTGACCCCTATGGTAACACAACAAGAATTTTGTTTTCATAGGGTCACTTAAAAATTAGGGATTAATGGTGAAAACAAGCATAAAAGTTTTTTTTAGGATTTCCTAACTGCGCATAAACAATGTTAAAGTTTTGTTTGCTCAAATTGTGGATATTTTTTTTACATAAGCATATTATGTTGGACGTACAAATTAAGCAGGCACACTGCCGCAATTTTTTTCATAATGCATCCATGTAACTTCTTGTACGTTTTATTGAAACGTTTCTTTGAATTCCAGCTGAGCTCGGACGGCGGCACCACCCCGCCGCGCCCCCCCTCGGCCACGTACAGCCGGCGACACGTGAGTAGACGTCCCTAGTGTTTATTTATGAATGACGATTTGTGACCAGATACCTAAACACATTAAACTGCTCCCAAAATCCCGGTTTGGAAAAGTTCTACGAGAGTGGCTTAAAAAAAATACGTTTTATTCAGTGGATGAATTCTTAAAGTACAAAGAATAACTTGAATGTTGTATGGATAATATGGTTGATGCATGGATTTATTGACTAATCATAATTGACATTAAATTTAATTTTTCTCACTCTGTAACCATTCTGTATATTTGCATGTCATAGTCTATGACTAAATGGGTCTTAAGTAACATTATATCTAATCAAATAAGAACTTCTCTGTAACCACCTATTTAAGGCAAATAAATGATTATGATTATCCGTTGAACAATCTTTATTAAGATAATCATACNAAAGCGCCCCAAAGTTCATAAGAAGAGGCCCGTGACGTCAACGCTTGCTTAAAAATGCCGCACGTTGTGACGTTGTGCGCAACTTCAACGCACCATAACTATGTAATTATTTGTTAGATTGACAAATAAAAATATACGTGTCCAATATTTTTTGATATTAAACATTACGGACTAAAAAAATTTTTTTAGGCAACTAGCCTATTGACATTAAATTTATTTTTTCTCACTCTGTAACCATTCTGTATATTTGCATGTCATAGTCTATGACTAAATAGGTCTTAAGTAACATTATATCTAATCAAATAAGAACTACTCTGTAACCACCTATTTAAGGCAAATAAATGATTATGATTATGATTGTGTAAACGAGTATGAAGTAATACCAGGCCTGTTCATCTCCGCGAGTTTACATCGGAAACAAAACACGCACGATGGCCCCCTACAGGATTACTATCCGACAAGGCCTCACATACGAGCGAGCATTGACTCACGCACGCGTATTCTTGTGTATGATGGAAAAATAAAGAAAATGGGGTACTAAATACTGTGCAGTATTTAACTGCCTAAATAATAATAAAAACACAGAATGTACTTTTTTAAGTTGCCTGAAGACACTGAGAGGTAAATAAGTAGTTAATATTATTCATGATAATTCATGTATTTCCTCCGCCATTTTCTTCAGTTTGGCACCTCACGTCACATCATTTTACCGAAGTCAGCCCTATAGCGTCGGCGCAGTGCCGACGATCACTGACGTTTGTCAACAAAATGGTGCTTGACTCTTGAGACAAGCTAAATTACACCATATTGTTAATGACATTGAGCATACATTTTTTTAAATACCTTCGCGAAGTAAAACTTCTGTACGTAGTACTTATTATTATTCTGTGGTAATTACACTGAGGTACATTGAACTTTGTGTTTAAAGAAGAACGGTCATCTGTGACCCAGGCCCGACAGAAACGAGACATATAGCCTGACCAGGAACATAAAAACCCTGGCATAGAGGNAACCGTAGATTTCTTGGCAACAGCAAAAATAAATCAAGGGCTTCATGGCAAATAATAAAAGATATTGACAATAACAATAGTTACTTTGATATTGACCACATTCTTCTTAATAAGGAGGAAGTCCATGACCCGCTACTTATAGCTGAGGCATTTAATACACATTTCATTGAGGCATCAATCCCAAGTCCTAATATAAAACCTAGTTTAACCCTTAAAACTATGGGGGCTAGTCTAGGTCATTCTATGTTTCTTTTGCCGATGACAGAGGATGAAGTGAGATTACAAATACTGTCTTTGAATAATACGAATTCTGAAGGCCCAGACGAGCTGTGTACAAATGTAATTAAAAAATGTGTTAACGAATTAACACCTATTCTAACGTACTTGATTAATTTGTCCTTTGAAAAAGGCGAATTCCCACAGCGGTTAAAGTTATCTGTTATAATACCAATACATAAAAAAGGCTCCAAAAACGATTTGACGAATTACAGGCCAATTACTCTTGTTTCAATTATATCTAAAATCTTTGAAAAGTGCATGTTTACAAGACTTATGCAATACTGTATGCTATTCAACATAATTAATAAAGATCAATATGGTTTCCAAAAGGGAAAATCTACTACTCTTGCTATGTTTGTCTTGTTTCAAGAGGTTCTGACTAATGTAGATCTTAAAAAATTAACTACTGTTCTTTTTCTAGACATGACAAAAGCATTTGACCTAGTTAATCACAACATTTTACTCTACAAGTTGGAAGCAATTGGCGTAAGAGGAGTACCACTCCAGTGGTTTAGGTCGTACTTACAGGATAGAGAGCAGTCTGTAATTATAACAAGTACTGGTGAAGACAATATAAGAAAATCACATAGCTCCAGGTACATCTGCAATAGATTTGGCGTACCACAAGGAAGTGTTCTTGGGCCACTTCTATTTTTAATTTATATTAATGACATTATAAATGTAACAAAATATAGAACTATATTATTTGCTGACGATGTATCTATTATTATTACAAATGACTTAAAAGATGGTTTGACGAAGCATGAGGCTGAAATTAACAAAACACTGTGTGACATTATTGAATGGCTTGACATAAACAATTTGAGAATAAATTTGACCAAAACAAATTATGTACAATTTAATAATTTTATGCAATATAATTTAAATATTTCATATCGAGGGACTTGCATTGAACAAGCTGACATAGTAAATTTTTTGGGTATAAGTGTAGACGCAAAAATTAATTGGAAATCACAAGTAGACAAAGTTTGTAACAAGGTGAATCGTTTTGTGTATGTTCTAAAGAGACTTCGCCATGTAACAGATCGGAACACAATCCTTGCAGCCTATCATGCCTATGTCGCCTCTATCTTACGCTACGGACTGCTTCTCTGGGGAAATAGTGTTGAAGTGAATAAGGCATTTGTTGCCCAAAAAAAGTGCATACGCGCTATATATGGCGTACCACCCTACCAGACATGTAAACATATCTTTGAGGAACTTAAGCTGTTGACCTTGCCAGGCCTTTACATTTTTGAGATCTGTAATTTTGTTAAAACAAATGTTCGTTTATTTTATAGGGCTGGTGATATACATATANTGCTTCTCTGGGGAAATAGTGTTGAAGTGAATAAGGCATTTGTTGCCCAAAAAAAGTGCATACGCGCTATATATGGCGTACCACCCTACCAGACATGTAAACCTATCTTTAAGGAACTTAAGCTGTTGACCTTGCCAGGCCTTTACATTTTTGAAATCTGTAATTTTGTTAAAACAAATGCTCGTTTATTTTATAGGGCTGGTGATATATATCCTCGGAATAAAAGGAACCCTGATAGACTTGTTTTAAAATCTGTTCCTAGAACCGCACTGTATGTAAAAAGTTGCTTAAATATGTGTATAAAGATATATAACAAGATACCTGCAAATATAAAAGAATTGCCATTGAAATTATTTAAAAAGAAGTTGTATGCGTGGCTTCTAGATAACAATTTTTATGACATTAAAGAAATAATTGTGTAAAAATAAATGTTTAAATTAACTATATTGGACTGTAATATTACCTACTTTGTTTAACTACTCTATTATTATGTGTGACTTATATTATTATGACTGGATTAATTGTTACACGCCATAATTTGGCGAGACATGTTGAACTGTATCATCAATTTTGTGTTCCATCCTATGTACCGTGTTTCATGTAATAAACAATTTGAATTTTGAATTTGAATTTTGACGGGCGCCCACAGTGAGGTATAAGGATGTGTAGCTTTTGGGGTCATTGGACGAAATTCTACGTGCTCGGCGACCGGACTTTAGACTAGTCAATCCGTCTGGCCAGCCTGAGAAGTGTACAACACAGTAGTGTCAACTGCGTACTTAGCAGCCGTGACGTCACACCGCCGCTCTGGTACGGCTGGGCGCGGGTGAGTGCGAGGGAGTCGCATTCCAGCGAAGTGCGTAGTTAGCTTGATCGGTTTTAACTTGGGTAGTTGACACATTGCACAAAAATGAGTGTTGTAGCTCAAAATGTGCAATATTTATTATGTATTTTAAATTTTTGATACAAGAAAGTGACGTCATAGCTTGTCTTTGCATAGTCTATCTATGTTCAGATTGAATAAAAGAGGGATACACAACAATTTCATACTTTAACGGTTGAAATAAAGGCTTATTCCACTATTCCCCGTTCACAATACCCGTCAAAAAGTTCCTAATCCCCGTTAACGCCAATTTGAGCTTATAAAAAGTTCATCAAATTTTTATTTTTTACAGAAGCCAGACACAAAGCAAAGAGGAGAAGGCAAAAGAAAAACTGTACATTCCTTGCAAAGGCTGCAACAAGGTGTTTCACTCTAAGAAGAGCTACCGGGCGCATGTGTAAGTATTATAAGTTGTAGAACTAGCGCTCAACTCAGTACCTGAGGTATGGGAGCGATACGGAAGGGTGTTTTTGTAACGTCAAACGTCAGCGAAACTTCAGATAATAATATAGATGACCCACGCTGAACTGTCCCACCAAACTCAATGACAGGGGGGCGCTACCATCGTTCAACTATATGGTTTCCAACATGGCAAAAATCGGAACCATCGATCCGGTATTGACGGTGGCGCCACGCTGTCAATGTCAGGCATAGGACAGTTCAGTATTTTGGAACTTGCTGGAAATGCTTCAGATTTGTATGCTCTGTCACGTTATATTATGTCCGTGTCACCCCTTTCGTGCTGCACCCATTTTCAGGTACAGACTGACTGGGTTAAGTTAGACCTATAAAAGTAATTTATTTTCTGCAGATAGGCTTTTAAAAAGCGCTTTTACACGTCCCAGTATTACTTTGCTAGCTTTTATCCGCAATTTCCTTTAGTTTTTAACCGATTTAAAAAAAGGAGGCGGTTTCAATTCGGTTGCGTGTTTTTCCTGTCACGTATTAACAGATTTGAAAAAATATTTTAATGATCCTAGATTCACTCAATTGCAATAAACATGTCATCCAGATAGACGAAAGGTAGCGAAGCCGCTACCAACCGGGCAATCTGGAAATCATTGGGGGAGGCCTATGTTCAGCAGTGGACGTCTTATGGCTGAAATGATGATGAAGAGATAAACGAAATTGAGGCTGTTGCTTTTCTGTGACTTTTCGGTGGCGTTTATGGTCATCCTTCTATCTGTTAAAATCCATTCATTAGATCGATTATGAATTTACTAATATTTTATTTTGATAAGATAAGATCATTTATTTATTTGCTTAAAACATGGTATACATAATTAAATATCGGTGTTATATGTTTGTAACTAGTTCTTTAAAATAAGTAAGGCCCAGAACAGACGGTGAAACGCAACTGCAACTGCTAGTTACTTTTGAGTTGCATCTAAGTTGCTGCCATAGCGTCCGTTGAGAGACCACACATGACGCGACCAGTTTGAAACTTTCAGTTTCATTCATAAGAATCATCAGAAAGTTGCAGTTGCGTTTCACCGTCTGTTCTGGGCCTTACCCTAAACTTTTATTTACAGGGTAATCCACAACGGCCTAACATATCCGTGTCAGATCTGCGGCAAACTCTTCCAATGGAAACGCAACTTGGCGCGTCACACTCGTGCGCATCGAGAAAGAGACGCAGGCTAGTAATTAAAACTTAAAACTCATTTTATTTTTGCAAGTAGGCTTTAAAATAATTTAAAGGTCATAGCAGATTTATCAGGCCTGTTCATCTCCGCGAGTTTACATCGAAAACAAAACACGCACGATGGCCCACCTACAGGATACTATTCGACAAGGCTTCACATATGAGCGAACATTGACTCACGCACGCGTATTCTTGTGTATGATGGAAGAAAATGGTGTACTAAATACTGTGCAGTATTTAACTGCCTAAATAATAATAAAAACACAGAATGTACTTTTTTAAGTTGCCTCAAGACTCTGAGAGGTAAACAAGTAGTTAATATTATTCATGATAATTCATGTTAAATCATGTATTTCCTCCGTCATTTTCCGCAGTTTGGCACCTCACGTCACATCATTTTACCGAAGTCAGCCCTGTGCCTTCGGCGCAGTACCGATCACTGACGTTTGTCAACAAAATGGTGCTCGACTCTTGACACAAGCTAAATTACACCATATTGTTAACGATATTGAGCATACATTTTTTTAAATACCTTCTCGAAGAAAATCTTCTGTACGAAGTACTTAATATTATTCTGTGGACTTATCAACTCGGAAAGGGATCAACACCGTATCGCCTTTCGCGAGCTGTCAACCGAGGTGAGGCGTTTACGTTACGGTGCGGATAAGTGTGCGTTGCAGTATGGAGTTTCATACAAAAAATACTGACCGTCTCGAGTTGAGTTGATGCGGTTACGTTTGTTTCGTACGCACTTACGTTGCCGCGCGCTAACTATGAATTTTAGCATTCATGAAAATTCTCAAGTTCAATTAGTTTCGTTCGTTCGTTCGTTTCAGCCAAATGACGTCCACTAATTAGTTTAATTATTGCTAATTTTGATTTCGCATGCTAATGATTTACGGATGTAACACACTTATCAAACCGGAAAGGGATTCCTTACAGAAACGTAAACGCTTCGAACGAGAGGCGATACGGTGTTGATCCCTTTCCGAGTTGATAAGTCTGCTATGAGTCTATGAGCTTAGGGCCTTGCCACACTGGCCGATTACAAGTGTGTTCGCTTCGTCGCCGCTCTGTTTTAAAACGCTTGCAATCCGCCAGTGTGGCAGTTCACTTACGTTTCCCATATTCAATCCTTGTCAATTCCGCATTTCAACTATTAAATTTAATTCAGTTTTCGATTAAAAATCCGCAATTTTCGATGCGTTTACACTTGAATATTGTTTAAATAGTCTTATAAACAATACGAAAATGTAAAAAGATCGAAAACCGCAGATATTTTGACCAAAAACATATTGAAATTTGACAGTTGACGGATGGATTTGGATTGGAAGAAAACCAGTATTAATGCTAATGCTAATTTTAATCAATTACTATTGCAGGCGCTACTTACGAATGTCGCGCGTGTGGAAAGAGCTTCGCCAGTAGAGACTGTTACAACAACCACATGCGACTGAGCAAGCGGCATGTGGCCGAGGAAGCGTTGGCGTAAGTATCCGAAAATGTCCGAAAATATCCGAAGATGAAACGAAAGTATCCGAACGTATCCGATAGTGTCAGTGAAGTATCCGAACGTATCCGTCATGTTTCGGTAAAATATCTGAACGTATCCGATAAATATCCAAACGTGTGAAAAAGTATCTACACGTATCTAAAATTATTCGAAAATATGACCTAAAATATTCGAACGTATCGGAAATATTACTAAAATATCCGAACGTATCCGATAAATATCCGATGATTAAAAATCTATTTGGGTATTTTTGTTTATTCTAATATAAAAATTGATTGTTCCAGTCACACTTGCAACTACTGTGGCAAAAAGTTCGCGACGAAATACTGCATGGTGGACCATATCGACTGGGACCATTTGAAGAGGATCAAATACCAGTGCAGCGTTTGTTTCAAGGTAACCAGAATTTAGTTGACCGACATGCTATTCTGAAAAACGTTATCCGAAGTATTTAATGCGTTTAGGCGCGATTGGTCCAATTCGCAATGAGGGTTTTCGCGAATGAAAAATCCGCTAGATGGCAATACGTAGACGCGAGGTCCAAATGCTGCATGATTGGTTATTTTTGACATGACATTAACAGATATGTCAAAATCCACCAATCACGCAGCAGTCAGACCCCACATGCACGTCCCGCCATCTAGCGGATCTTTCATTCGCGAAAACCCTTATTGGTCCAATCGTGAAAAATTTACAAATTCGCGATTAGTTCCATTCGCGATTGGTCCAATTCGTCCAAAATAAAAGGATATCCAAAATTAAAAAAATAAGCAGGTTATTCAAGTTTACTACTATTGCAGAAAAAAGCGAATTGGTCCAATTCGTAATTGTAAAAAAAAAATCCTAGTAAAAATCAATACAAACACCTCCATTCAACCAAGTTCTAAATAAATAAATGAATTTTAGGACATTCTTCATATTAATTTCCCCATATTTTGTTCCCAGGCGTTCAAAACGGCCAAAATAATGGTGGCGCATATGAACAACATACACGGAGGCAAGAAGAGTAAGGAACCAGATGGACAGCATCTGTGCGAGATTTGCGGGAAGTCTTACAAGGTAAGTTAATCTTACATCTTTTGTTTCGATAACTATGATGCGAACAGCTAAAGTCCGGTCGCCGAGCACGTAGAATTTCATCCAATGACCCCGAGCTACCCATCCTTAGCGCTCGCGCGTAATTATATTGCTGTCGCGACTGTGCGACGGGCGCCCGCAGTGAGTGTGCGAGCGCGACAGCAACATAATTACGTGCGAGCGATAAGGATGGGTAGCTTGGGGTCATTGGACAAAATTCTACGTGCTCACAGACCGAGCTTTAACAGTAACCCAACTATGTACAGTAATATTTTTGTACTAAATAAATATCATTTTCATTTAACCTATTCCAGTCCGTGAAGCGCCTCAAAGGCCACGTGTGGGCAATGCACACGAACCGCTCTTCGTCCAAAATCTTCAAGTGCAAGCTGTGTCCAGCTACGTTTTTGTGGCAAACCTCCATCTACAAACACGTCAAGATGATGCACGGCGGCGCCAAGCGAGCCAAGGTCAGTTTACAGGGCATTATTTATTTATTTTTGGGAAACATACAGTTACAATATAATTTAACTTAGATGCAGTAAGAAAACACATAAACCAATTAAGTTTCCACAGTTAAATATAGGACATAAAGTTGGGCAAACCATTATGAATATTTTGTTGTGAAAAATATAAATTTATATAAAAAATGGGTGCTTACAGGTTATTATTGGTGTTTACAGGGCATTATGGATGTATACAGGGCATTATGAGTGTTCAAGCTAAGCGTCCACATGTCGGTATCGTACGCATCGGACGTATCGCACGCAACGGATTGTAATATTATTTATATGGAAACTCATATAAGTGCGTCTACCTGTCCGCATCGTACGCATCGCACATCCGATACGATGTGTTTCGTACGATGCGTCCGTTGCGTACGATACCGACAAGTGGACGCTTAGCTTTACAGGGCATTGGGCTTTACAAAGATTGTCTTGGATCTACAGGGCTTTATGGGTATACAGGGTGGAATTTTGTAATGCCACCTGGATCGAAAGTACTCGTAATATTGTAGATAGAAAATTTTAGTCAAAGAAAACATTCCTTTATTTTTGAAAAGAAATATGAACGCGTACGAAGTCGCGGGCGGCCACTAGTTATTATTATAATAGGGCCTAAAATTCTGAAAGAAAGAAAGAAAAATATTTATTTGGTATCAAAAATAAAATAAAAAGTATTTTTTATTTATTTCCTTTATTTCTTCCACAGCAAACGCGGACAATGCCAACCAAGAAGCAAGAGCCCTACCCGGAAATCGAACTGACGAACCGCATGTACTTCCAGCCCAATATGGCCGCCGGGATAGTGCCCAGCATTGGGCAAATCCAGCAAGTGCCTGTGGGCATTGTGCAGAACATTGTTGTATAGTAAATAGTGTAGGCCAAATTGTCTATGGTAGAGGGCCGCAGTGGAGACTAAATGACCTGATGATGATGATGATTATATTGTATTGATAGTTGTTGCAATGAGGGCTATCGTTTTAGCGCTCACCAGTTAGCGCCACTGTAGAGTAAGGTCCTGTCACTTGCCAGTAGCGAAGACAGTGGCACCAACTGGTGAGCGCTAAAGTGGTAGGAGGACTATCGCATTTGCACTCATCAAGATGGCGCCACTGTAGAGTAAGGTCCTGTCAATCGCCAGGGGTGCCAACTGTTAAGTATAAAAACGATAGCCCTCATTCACGAAGGCGAGTGAGCGTTACATGTGTGGTGGCTCGCTACTGTTCGTTTTTCAAAAGTTTTGACAGACATTACACTACCGTTATGTGCATGTGTACACGTACACACACAAGTAAAGCGAGTGAGCCTTCGTGAATTGCACGGACTATACAGGGTGTTAGGTAAATGGGTATATGAGCCGACACTAGCCCATGTTAACATGGGCATGTAAATGGTATGGTGAAGTCAGAAAATTGATATCTTCATTTTAATTATTTTAATTTTCATACAAATCGGATTTTATAAAATTTATTTTGATAAAAAATTGAAATGATGATATCAAATTTCTGACTTCACCATACCATTTATATGACCATGTTAACATGGGCTAGTGTCGGCTCATATACCCATTTACCTAACACCCTGTATAGAAACGGGCATTTCAAATAAAACGGAGTACCAAGCTGTCTGGCACACATGGGGAGTGTAGACCAAATCCTTCATTTGCCTCTGGTACATTAGAGAGTTTGATACATTGATAAGAAACAGTCCAGAAAATTCGCTTATTTTCCTCCATATTTTTTTTATTATTATTATCTTGTATATTTTTGTACAAATTAAGTGTTGTGAGAGTAGAATAAGCAACGATTGTACCTTTATGATTTACTTAATCCATCCTTTATTATGATTTTTAAAATAAGTGCGTTTTATTGCAAGTTTTTATTTACAAAATTATACCTACAATTTTTTTATGTTTACCTACTCATGATCACTCTTTATTATTTTAATGTATTTCTACATGATCGTTTCATCCACGAAGACGCGCCCCACCATTCTTCCGCTAATGTTTGAGTGTTATCGGTACCCGCTAAAAAATGCTCCATGAGTGCACACGCACACTACAAAATCAAAAATATTTATTCAGTTTAGACCACAAGTGGCACTCATGAACGTCAATAGAAAATAATAAAAAAAGAAAAGGTAGCCCTTATGGGGCACTTTACATGTCTCCTTATCTTTTGGGTAATGCCTTACGGATTGCTCGGACCACACTCCCCGCACCCCGCGCGACCGAGACCAAACATGGGGCGCGTCCGAGTGGGTGAAACTATCTATAACAGGCCTGGTTTTCCAAAGCAAAGCGGAGAGAAGTGTGTGGTTTTCCAAAGCGGAGCCGAGCGAAGATAAGTGTATTGAATAACCAATCAGATTTCATTATTTCCACTTCTCATCTCCGATTCGCTCCGTCTTGGTGGAAACCGGGCCATAAACAAGTCATTTTACTCATGCAAACTGTCTTTTTTGTCTAAATAAGATGCCATAATAATTAGTTTTAGTTGTAGATGTAAGGAAAATATTTTTTATACCCAGTCAAAATAAATTATTATTTTTTATGCACTAGTTTTATTTCATAATCCATTTTAAATAAAGGATCTTAGGATGTGTCGGGACACTTATAGGCGAAAGACACTTGCACGAATCCACATGCGCGATACGCGGACGTTTGCGAAGAATTTCAGAAGAGACTTCGACGATCATCTCTTTCGCGCAAACATCCTCCATTCGCGCTAAATGTTTTCACGCAAGTGCCGTGCGCGCAAATGTCTTCGCCCAAGTGTACTAAAAGTTTTGGTACACTTACTCGAAAACATTAATTAGTTCAAAACCGACCTAGGGAGTAGGAATAGGATAAAGTCATTTAAAGTCCCGTCGCACCACAGAATTTCGTCCAATGACCCCAAAATACCCATCCTTGTCGCTCGCGCGTAATTGCTTGGGGCATAGAGTTATTAAAACTATGGCTTGGGGTCATTGAGCGAAATTCTATCTGCTCGGCGACCGGACTTTAAATACAACTAGCTGACCCGGCGAACTTTGTTCCGCCTTAATGGCAATAAATAAGCAGACTTTTTGTTTAATTTCGAACAGGATAAAAAGTATCCTATGTCCTTCTCCTGGCTCTAAACTACCTCCCTGACAATTTTCAGCTAAATCGGTTCAGCCGTTCTTGAGTTATAAGTGGTGTAACTAACACGACTTTCTTTTATTATAGTATAGATTGTAAACATGGTAAATAAGTAATTCAAATGACACCTTAAGAGTGAACTATCAACGATTTTCACGATTTTTTTTTTCAATTTGCCATCATACAACAATATTGATTCTCATCACCGTCCTGCGAAGTCTGTAGTCGTATGGTTCAAAGAGAATGTCTAAATGGTTCAAGTTACTGTTCCTCTTCTTCATGTATCCATAGTTCGTGAACTTCCGTCTCCATGGATCGAAGGATGCTGAGGTGATGAGGAATAGCGCTGAAAAAATTTACTGAATGGAATTTGATGACACAATTCAGTAGTAATTTGTAGACAAGGCACACTATCAACAGGAAACCAGTGCTGTTGTATGGTGTCAAGTGGAACCAACAAAAGTGCCTATGTCTATTCAGGGAGTTCCAGCAATACTAGTTATTATTTATTTTTGTTAAGGATTGTTTGGGAGGTTGGAAACTGGTGTAATAGTTCGTATTTTGTATTTTATAAAAAAAAGAGTTCAATTAAATATTAATACAGTGTGGACTATGAACAAGAAAATGATCAAAAGTAATTTCAAGGTTTACTTACAAGTCATAAGTAAAATCATTAATCTAAAGCTGCCCATTTCAGAAAACACATTGGTTTCTACTGGCTATTTAGTATCTAATGTCCACTTTCATGAAATTACATTGCGTATTAGTGAATATTAGAAAAGAGTGTTTTGTTCACTAATCACCCATGAAATTACTACACATTTATATAATGGTTTGTTAGTAATTTGTATTTGCAAAGGAATTTATTGATTGGGGGACATTTCCACTCACAATTCAGTATAAATTTTGCTATTCACAAGAATTATTACTTATAGTAGCTAATTTATGTTAATTTCAGACAAAAATGGAACAAGTTTTTACCTACCATACCACAACATTACAATATTAATGAGTTAGGAATCGAGTATGTAGTAAAGAAAACAACAAAAATACAAAAGAAAGTCTTAATTTATTTAAATTAGAGTCTATTACAGCGAAAAACCTACATTATTTTTTATTTTTATTCTGTGGATTGCGGCCTGCGTTCCCGCCACCTCTGTTTAGGGGTCCTGGTCGCCCGCGGTTGCCGAAAGCGCCTCTGCCGGTCCCTCGGCCACCAGTCCTCATGTTCTGGCCTCCACCACGGCCCTTGGACACCTCGCTTCGCCCTCTTGCTTTAATCTGCGTATCTTCTTTCACCATGTCTATCACCTCGTCAGGAATCCTCAAATATTTGATCGTACTGCCCCGAATGTAGCATTCTGGCATCCTCCAGAACTTGTCTCCGTCCCGCGACGTGCAGATCACTTCTCTGAGGTTGATATTCATCCAATTATCACAAGAAACTAAATGGCCGTTGTATGTTTCGCCATTCTTCAACTCCACCAACATTGGGTGGTTTTGAGCCGTTCGTAATAGCGATAATGGTAACATATTTGGTTGATTTATTTAATGAATACTAGGATTTTTAGTAGCTATCACACGGATTTGTTGTTTATTTACGCAAAAACACTGCCCCGTAAATATATGGTATTTTTGAGGTTATGATGAATGACAGCTGACTTTTTTTGACATTAGGTAGGTACTTTCAGATAGACATGATAGTTCTCATTACATGCGCATCAGTAGAATTTTTGGTGGTAATTAATTTAAAAATCCAGTTATGTGCAAGTCTGATTCACGCAATGAGAGTTCCGCACAAACTAGCAGGTATGCAAATACTCATAGCACTGAGAAATCCCACGGGAAGAACCTTAAATAATTTTGCTTCAAACCATTAAAATGTTGACATTGTAAAGTACCCACAAGATGGTTATGTTTCTATTCAAATGTCAACATTTAAAATTCGATGTTTCATTTTCTGTCTTTTGCACAGATATGGAGTCTTTTGAATAAATCAAAGTACTGTTTCACAACGATTACAAAAGCAGTATATTTTAACTAAGGGAACACAAATTTTGACAGCTGACTACAGTGTACATGTTCAAAACTATTTTAAACTCTATTGCTAAAGCAATAAAGACTAATAACGTTCACGATAAATCTAGAAAGTAAATGAATTTGACAATTCGGTTTTTCTGTCTTTTTGTCATAGTTTCGAATGCGACAAAAACTTAGTTTTTTGGAAAATTACAGGTAAAAATCAATTTTTTACTGAAAATTCGTGCAAGAACAAGATTAATACGGCATAAGGTATGTTTAAAACAACTTTAAAATGTATTTTTAAACTAAACTCGATTTAAGCCGGCCGCGTGCTTTTCTCACTAAAGAAATTCGTTTCTGTTGCTAACAGTAAGTTAATTATTGCTTAAAGACCTAGAAAACAATTAAAATTTAAACATTTCACCTTTCTGGCCTCTGAAAAGTATGTATTCCAATTAATTACGGAGTTATTTACAAACGCTAAGACAAACGCATGTTATCTTTTTCAGACAGTTTTCAAGGATGCCGCAAGCCCGTAGGAAAACGCCGTTTAGCGGCAAGGCGAAGAAACAGCAGCTACAAGCAAAGAAGAACAAAACTTTGCTGCTATCCAGTAAGTAAAGCGTTTTCAAGATATTTTCTCCTTGTTTTGTTTATTCTTGAGTTTATGAACAGCAGGACAAAATGTCCGACGACAAAGAGGTTTTAGCGCTCACCAGTTAGCGCCACTGTAGAGTAAGGTCCCGTCACTTGCTAGTAGCGAAGACAGTGGCACCAACTGGTGAGCGCTAAAGTGGTAGGAGGACTATCGCATTTGCACTCGTTAAGATGGCGCCACTGTTGAGTAAGGTCCTGTCAATCGCCAGGGGTGCCAACTGTTAAGTATTAAAACGATAGCCCTCATTGTAACAAACATGTTGCAAACTTAGTGGTTACTTTGGGTGTCACGAACTATTTGACGCGGACTGTTCGGTCTGGTCATTGTGGGAATTCAAATTTTGTTTAATAAATAGAATCCTTAAAGTATATCTTATTTAACTTGGTTTATGTAAAAAGGTTACTTTCAATAAAATTATTTATAGTGAAAGAAAAGCAGTTCCCTTTCAACAAAGTTTATTCTTAAACAACTTGAAAAAATCAAACTGCCTAAGGCGGGAATCGAACCCATAATCTTTCGCTTGTCGGGCTTGCTCGGACACTAGATGAACCCATGAAAATGTTCAAGTGTAATACGCTGTTACAGCCAGCAATTGATTGTTAATGCTTTTGAAAAAAAAAAACTACGTTTTATTAGAGGCCGGTAGATCATTCCTCATAAATAAAACACTGAATACTCAACTTTCAGATTATGTTGCCTTATTTTAAATACAATTCATCACTTAGCACAAAAGCGCGCAGAGTCGTCTCTGGTTGTCTCGCTATTCTAACATTTGATCCTAGTGTGACATTGACATTATGTCTATGACAGCAGCTCATTGGCTATAACGATACTGCTATTTTAACGTTTTTTATTTTTCACAATAAACAATTTATTCTTATATCTTCGTCAATATCCTCAGCATCGTCCGGCACAAGCACCTGCGAGGTGGTCTCCGTGAACTACCAGCCTCGCAACCGCGGTGGCAGGGGAGACTCCAACCGTTATGCCCTCAAGTTCTACCGGGAGACCGATGAAGAATTGTTTCTGAAGAAAGAGGATGCTGCGTGAGTTTATTTTTCATTACATTTTCAATAGATATTAATTTATTACTGAGACAAGATGATGTTATACTATTTGTATTTTCTGATGAGATTTGCATGTGCAAGTTTTAAAAAAAATGAAGTTTTAGATGGTACACTAAAAATTTTAATTTCAAAACATCTAAATTTGGAAATGCTGTGGGTTATGTTGGTTACTTTAGTTTTCCCGCCAAACTTTTTTTTTTGAAAGAAAGATTTTTATGTTTCTTCTTCATGGCAATCTGTATTCCAACAAATAAGCCACTTCTTTTGTTGATTTCTCAGTTTATGTTTTCTTTGAAAGCCACACTTTCACACAACTCTCTTGCCAAACTAAAATGGTGGTGGGTGGGGCATATAGCTTGAGGAGAACTAATGGCCATTAGGGCAGAAAACTTCTTGAGTGGTGACCATCTAGCGAAAAATACAGGATGTTAGGTAAATGGGTATATGAGCCGACACTAGCCCATGTTAACATGGTCATGTAAATGGTATGAATATCAGAAAATTGATATCTTCATTTTAATTATTTTAATTTTCATACACATCGGATTTTATAAAATTTATTTTGTATGAAAATTTAAAAAATTAAAATGATGACATTAAATTTCTGACTTCACCATACCATTTATATGCCCATGTTAACATGGGCTAGTGTCGGCTCATATACCCATTTACCTAATACCCTGTTAGTGTAGCCAGGTCCTCCCACTCAATGGAAAAGCATCTAGATACAGGCAGCATAGGGCCAGTCCAGTCCATTTTACTTGACCTGTAAACTTTATTTGGCTGAAACAATCGAACAAACGACAACGAAGCAGCAGTTATCAAAAATCAAAATTATCTTTATATGTATAGAGTAATTAAATTAATACTTATAATATAATAATAATAAGCCTTTTTATTCTGAACTTGGTTACATAATAGTTACAAAATATGATAAATAATAAGATCTGTGTTATAAAATATCCCGAAGCTCAGTTTGCCTCTTGGCATAGGCCTCCTCCATCGATTTCCATTGGGACCTGTCGCGTGCTACCCTGCTCCAATAGTGTCCAACTGTGAGTTTTAGGACGTCTTCCCATCTTGTTCGTTGGCGACTTCTACATCTCTTTCCATCCCTGGGATACCAGTCAGTGACGCTTAAAAAACACACACAGAAACAAATTAATACTTACAAATCGTCAAATGTTAGTACGAGTATAGGCTTTACCATCTAAATACAATTCCAGCAAGGCCCTCAACCCGGTCCCGGAAAAGGAACTAGAAGTTGACCCGACGGACTTCTTTCCCTCCGACCTGTCGTTCCCGAAGCGGCCGGCATGGGACTTCAGCATGAGCCCTGCTCAGCTGGACGCGCAGGAACAGAGGTATTTCAAGGTAAGTTACAAGGTAGTTAACCTCTGTGGTCTAGTAACCGCCTCTGTGGTCTAGTAACCGCCTCTGTGGTCTAGTTAACCGCCTCTGTGGTCTAGTAACCGCCTCTGTGGTGTAGTAACCGCCTCTGTGGTCTAGTAACCGCCTCTGTGGTGTAGTAACCGCCTCTGTGGTCTAGTAACCGCCTCTGTGGTGTAGTAACCGCCTCTGTGGTGTAGTTAACCGCCTCTGTGGTCTAGTAACCGCCTCTGTGGTCTAGTAACCGCCTCTGTGGTGTAGTAACCGCCTCTGCGGTCTAGCAACCGCCTCTGCGGTTCCCTCCGACCTGTCGTTCCCAAAGCGGCTGGCTTGGGACTACAGCATGAGCCCTGCTCAGCTGGACGCGCAGGAATAGAGGTATTTCAAGGTAAGTTACAAGGTAGGTAACCGCCTCTGTGGTCTAGTAACCGCCTCTGTGGTCTAGTAACCGCCTCTGTGGTCTAGTAACCGCCTCTGTGGTCTAGTAACCGCCTCTGTGGTCTAGTAACCGCCTCTGTGGTCTAGTAACCGCCTCTGTGGTCTAGTAACCGCCTCTGTGGTCTAGTAACCGCCTCTGTGGTCTAGTAACCGCCTCTGTGGTCTAGTAACCGCCTCTGTGGTCTAGTAACCGCCTCTGTGGTCTAGTAACCGCCTCTGTGGTCTAGTAACCGCCTCTGTGGTCTAGTAACCGCCTCTGTGGTCTAGTAACCGCCTCTGTGGTCTAGTAACCGCCTCTGTGGTCTAGTAACCGCCTCTGTGGTCTAGTAACCGCCTCTGTGGTCTAGTAACCGCCTCTGTGGTCTAGTAACCGCCTCTGTGGTCTAGTAACCGCCTCTGTGGTCTAGTAACCGCCTCTGTGGTCTAGTAACCGCCTCTGTGGTCTAGTAACCGCCTCTGTGGTCTAGTAACCGCCTCTGTGGTCTAGTAACCGCCTCTGTGGTCTAGTAACCGCCTCTGTGGTCTAGTAACCGCCTCTGTGGTCTAGTAACCGCCTCTGTGGTCTAGTAACCGCCTCTGTGGTCTAGTAACCGCCTCTGTGGTCTAGTAACCGCCTCTGTGGTCTAGTAACCGCCTCTGTGGTCTAGTAACCGCCTCTGTGGTCTAGTAACCGCCTCTGTGGTCTAGTAACCGCCTCTGTGGTCTAGTAACCGCCTCTGTGGTCTAGCAACCGCCTCTGTGGTCTAGCAACCGCCTCTGTGGTCTAGCAACCGCCTCTGTGGTCTAGCAACCGCCTCGGTGGTCTAGCAACCGCCTCTGTGGTCTAGCAACCGCCTCTGTGGTCTAGCAACCGCCTCTGTGGTCTAGTAACCGCCTCTCTGTGGTCTAGCAACCGCCTCTGTGGTCTCGTAACCGCCTCTGTGGTCTTGCAACCGCCTTTGTGGTCTAGTAACCGCCTCTGTGGTCTAGTAACTAAATTCCAGCAAGGCCCTCAACCCGGTCCCGGAGAAGGAACTAGAAGTTGACCCGACGGACTTCTTCCCGTCCGACTTGTCGTTCCCGAAGCGGCCGGCATGGGACTTCAGCATGAGTCCCGCTCAGCTGGACGCGCAGGAACAGAGGTATTTCAAGGTATGAAGAACACAGGAATATTCCCACCTCTCGTTCTCACCTGCAACTCCCGTGTAGCCAGGATCTACAGCTTGACCGCCAATAAAAACCCAACCGGTGAAGGTCAATTTTGAAGTTTGTCCCGAGATAAAAAGTTAAACTGTCATTGGACCTGCAATGAAATTAATATTTTAACTTTTTTGTTGCATTAATTAAATAACTCAATAGATCTAAGAACCCTATCGGCAATCCAGTTAAACGGGATCCTGCATCACTGTATTCTGCAAAACTGGACTTGTGCATATACGGTTCTTTGCAATACGAGTATTTGCAAAAAATATTATGCAGAAAAGTACTAGTGGCAACACTTCTATTAAGCAAAACTGGATCCTGTATTTTACTGGTCCAATTTAATAACAAAACCGTATAGAAAATTCGAATAGATTGGTTATTTGTGGGACACTGCAAATGGGATGTTCGTGTCCTTCTACCATCCCTGAGATGGGTATTGTTTTACAAAACCACAACCTGGAAATATTTTTTCATTCTTTCTTTCAAAAAAGCGCCCGTTCAGTAAGTTCGCGCAACTGAATTATCGTAGGAAAGAGCCGTATTAGTATGTGTCTGTGGCAAATAAAGTTTATTTCTTTCTTTTTATTTCCAGAACTACGTAGACCAGCTGCAAGCCTCCGAGCACTGGAAGGACATATCCTACTTCGAATTAAACTTGGAAACGTGGCGGCAGCTGTGGCGAGTGCTGGAGATGTGTGACGTACTACTGCTGATTGTGGACGTTAGATATGCTGTGAGTTTCTTATAGACTAACACCCGTATTCACAAACGATACTTCCTTAAGTGCAGCAGGAATTTTGAAATATTTCCCATACTGAAACTGTCAATGTGCCAAACTTATTCTTCAAAATTATCTGAAGGTTGAAAAATCAGCCCTTAGGCCCAGAACAGACGGTGAAACGAAACTGCAACTGCTAGTTACTTTTGAGTTGCATCTAAGTTTCTGCCATAGCGTCCGTTGAGAGACCACACATGACGCGACCAGTTTGAAACTTTCAGTTTCAGTTTCATTCATCGGAATCATCAGAAAGTTGCAGTTGCGTTTCACCGTCTGTTCTGGGCCTAAGAGCTGGTGAACGGCGAACGCCAGACCTACGTCATTTTAGAAAAGCTGAAAGTTTGTCAGCGTATGCTCCCAATATAGGATATAATGTTGGTGAATCATGAAGTTTGGGTCATGGTGGCTTTGGGAGCTATCCTAAAAAACTGGACAATAATTGGAAGTATTTTCCCCAACAGCCAGACAGTTCCAACTCCTTGCCAGACTGTTTAAAAAAAAACTCAGCTTTTATGAAATGACGTAGGTGTGGCGTTCACTCGCTCTTAGTCTATAGCTATCAATACTAGATTTTTAGTTTTTGATTTTTGTCACTTGACGTTTCAAAATAGAAATTTATTAATTGTTCTTCCGCAGGGCATGATGTTCCCTCCATCACTATACCACTACGTGGTCACGGAACAGAAGAAGAACATGATAGTGGTGTTGAACAAGATAGATCTGGTCCCAGCTTCCGTGGTGGCCGCCTGGCATGACCACCTGACCACAACCTGTCCCGGGTTACGGGTGGTGTATTTTACCTCTTGTCCCGGGTATAACTTGAGGGGCGCTAGCAGCGACAAAGCAGGTTAGTGTTACTTTTTGTAAAATAAAATACTGGAACACTAATCATGGTCGTCTGTCCATCGGGCGCTCTTTGGATCCTCTGTCCACTAAGCACTAGAGTACAGTGTCGTCAGTCTATATGGGTCGGCTGTCCTTTAGACACTCTTTAGATCGACTGTCCATCAGCCATTCTTTAGATCGTCTGTCCATCAGGCATTCTTAGGGTCGTCCGTCATTTAGGCACTTTTAAGGTCGTCTGTTCATCGGACATCATTTTTAGGGTCCACTGTTCTTAAGACACTTGCATCATCTGTCCATCAAGCATCTTAGAGTCGTCTGTCCATCAAGTATAGGTCGTCCGTCATTTAGGCATTTTTTAGGATCATCTGTCCATCAGGCACTCTTCGTGTCGTTTTTAGACATTTGGGTCCTCAGTCCATCGTGAGTTATCTGGGTCACCTTTCTTTTAGACACTTTTTTGGTTGTCTGCCCTCTAGATACTTTTTGAGTCGTCCTGCCATCAGGCAGAAGGTCGTCAGTCCCTCTTGCTCCAACGACCTCACTCTCGCCTCCGGAACATGGTCGTGGTCCTGCACAAGACAGATCTGGTCCCAGCGTCCGTGGTGGCCGCCTGGCATGACCACCTGACCACAACCTGTCCCGGGTTACGGGTGGTGTATTTTACCTCTTGTCCCGGGTATAACTTGAGGGGCGCTAGCAGCGACAAAGCAGGTTAGTGTTACTTTTTGTAAAATAAAATACTGGAACACTAATCATGGTCGTCTGTCCACCAATCACTATAGGTCGTCAGTCCCTCGGGAATTATCTAGGTCGCCTATTCTATAGACACTTTTTGGGTCGTTTGTCCATCGGGCATCATTTTAAGATTCTCCTGTTCTTATATTTTTTAGATCGTCTGTCCTTTAGACACACTTTAGGTCGTCTGTCCATTAAGTATTTTTAGCGTCGCCTGTCTATCGAGCATTCTTAAGGCCGCCTGTCTTTTAGACACTAGGTCGTCCGTCCATCAAACATCATTTGGGTCGTTCGTCCATCAAGCATTCTGTCTACTGTTCTTAAGACACTTGGATCATCTGTCCATCAGGCATTTTTCGTGTTATTGTTAGACACTTGGGTCATCAGTCCATATCGTCAGTCCATCGCTAATTATCTGGTTCGCCTGTTCTTTATACACTTTTGGGTCGTCTGTTTTAGGCGCTCTGGGTCGAATGTCCATCGAGCATCATCTGGGTCGCCTGTTCTTTAGACACTCTTTAGGTCATCTGTCCATCGAGCATAATTTTTATGATCTCCTGTTCTTATGACACATTTTGGAGGTTATTGTCTGTCTCGAGCATTCTTAAGGTCGCCTGTCTATCGAGCATTCTTAGGGTCGTCTGGCCGCCTGGCATGACCACCTGACTAAAACCTGTCCCGGGTTACGGGTGGTCTACTTTACGTCGTGTCCCGGGTACAATCTGAGAGGTGCTAGCAGCGATAAGGCTGGTAAGTGATAGTAAAATTTAATAAATTAATGTGTTTTAAGAAACAGTATTTGAGCATTTTTAGACTGTCCATCGAGCATTATTAAGATCGTCAGTACATCGCTAATTATCTGGTTCGCCTGTCCTTTAGACACTTTAGATCGTCTGTCTATCAAGCATCTTAGAGTCGTTTGTCCATCAGACATTTTATGGTCGCCTGTCTTTTATACACTAGGTCGTCCGTCCATTAAGTATCATTTAGGTCGTCCGTCATTTAAGCAATTTTAAGGTCGTCAGTTCATCAAGCATTATTTTTAGGATCTTCTGTCCTTAAGACACTTCGATCATCTGTCCGTCAGGCACTCTTCGTGTCGTTTTTAGACACTTGGGTCGTCAGTCCATCGTGAATTATCTGGGTCGACTTTCTTTTAGATACTTTTTTGGTTGTCTGTCCTCTAGACATTTTTTGGGTCGTCGGTCCCCTAGACACTTTTTGGATTGTCCTTCCATCAGGCAGAAGGTAGTCAGTTCATCTTGCTCCAAGCGAGCGCGTTAAAAAAATATATGAACATTTTACTTCTTGAAAGTTTCCGCTAGGGGCGCTGTACAATCCGTCATACATTTAATGTCGCTTTTTTACGCTCTTGGCCTGTATCTCACCTGATGGTAAGTGCTGATCAGGCCAAAGGTAGAAGCGAGCTTCACCCGGAATCCTCAACCACGGAGGAACTGGCTATCTTACCTCTAACTGCAGGAACACAACAATGCTGTTAACATTGTTGTTATGGCGACAGTCTTAGGTAAGATGGTGGTAGCTAGCCAGGCGGACTTAGAACAAGCCCTACCACCAACCAAACCGAACAGAAAAATCTGCCCCCACTGGGAGTCGAACTGGGGACCTCTGCGTTTAAAGCAGGTGGTCTTACCACTAGACCACAGAGGCGGTTAAAGGTCGTCGGTTATTTAGATACTCTTGGGGTCGTCTGTCCATCAGGCAATTTAAGGTCGTCTGTTCATCGAGAATTATTTAAGTCGTATATATATATACTTTAGACACTTTTTGGGTCGTCTGGCCATCGAGCATTATTTGAGTCGTTTGCTCTTTAGACAATTTTTGGGTCGTCTCCCCATCGAGCAATATTTGAGTCGTTTGCCCTTTAGACACTTTTTGGGTCGTCTGGTTATCAAGCATTTTAAGGTCGTCTATCTATCGAGCATTATATTTATGTCGTTTATCCATCGACCATTATTTGAATCGTCTATCTTTTAGACACTTTTTGGGTCGTTTGTCCATCAAGCAATTTAAGGTCGTCTGTCCATCGAGCATTATTTGGGTTTTTTGTCCTTTAAGACACTTTTTGGGTCGTCTGTCTAACGAGCATCACCTGGGTAGCCTGTTCTTTAGACACTCGTTAGGTCGTCTGTCCCTCAGACACTCTTTAGGTCATCTGTCCCTCAGGCATTCTTTAAGTCGTTTGTCCATCAAGCATTATTGAGGTCGTCTGTCCATCAAGCATTATTTAACTATGTATTTTCCTGTTCTAGGGCTGCAAGTGCGCCGCCGTAAAGGCCGCCAACAAATGTGCGTAGAAGGAGCCACTAAAATCTTGGAAGCGTGCAAAGACATCGTTGGCTCTGACGTGGACTTATCTTCTTGGGATAAGAAGATCAAAGAAGAAGCTGAAATTGAGACGGAAGATGATGAGCAGACTGAAGTTGGTATGTGTTTACTTTTAAAGATTTCTAAGTCAACTAATGACTGACCGACCGTTTGTTTGACTAGTTTTGGTCAAGAAACAATTTCGGCCTTAGTTTAGCTAGAATTCGGTATACTTACAGATTATTTTTTAATATGATTATGATCTATTCAAACTGTTTCACTATTACTATACAGGGTGGAATTTTGTGTCGTGGAAAAATCTTTGAATGCAGGTCTCTTTCTTTTCAAAAATAAAGGAATGTTTTCTTTCAATAAATTTTTCTATCTACAGTATTAAGAGTACTTTGCCTCCAGGTGGCATTACAAAATTCCACCCTGTAGAATAAGGCACCACCTAATTTTAAACGTAACTATAACGATGACCGTTGTTTTTGTATAGAGTTTGGCAGACTTTTGACGTTTGTGGAAGTAAGATGGTGCAACTGCTGGTATGAAAATATGTAACGTCACTGTTTTTGGAAATCAACTGAGCAAAGTTCGATTGGCTACAAAAATTAATTAAAAAATGAATAAGTACATGAGTCTTTATTGATTATTGAGTAAAATGTGGATGTGGTGTCTGTTGTTGATAATAAGTATAGTTGTGTCAATAGAAAGTTTCATTTATTCTAATAAATAAAGCAGAATAGCATTGACATGAGCTATCTAATCTTATCACTATCGTGACCATGGCCCNGATCTAGGAATTAATTATGAAGTTTGGGTCATGGTGGCTTTGGGAGTTACCCTAAAAAAACTCTGGCAAGGAGTTGGAACTGTCAAAACGGTCTGGCTGTTGGGGAAAATACTTCTAATTATTGTCCAAATATCTATACTAATATTATAAACTAGCGGCCGCCCGCGACTTCGTACGCGTAGATCCCGTTTTACCCCCTTCATTTTCTTCATTTCGCGGTTTAGATCTTTTCATACAAATGTTTTTTTCCCGCTAACTCCCGTTCCCGTGGGAATTTTGCAATATCCTGTTGTAACTAAGCTTTAAATCTACTAAGATACCTGCATGCCAAATTTCAAGCGTCTAACTTAAGCGGTTTAGATTTTTCATACAAAAGGATTTTCCCGCTAATTCCCGTTCCCGTTGGAATTCCTAAGTATCCTATAACCTGCCCAGGAGTACGAAGAATAATTGTGCCAAGTTTCGTTAAAATCCGTCGAGTAGTTTTTGTTTCTATAAGGAACATACAGACGGACAGACAGACAGACAAAAATTTTACTGATTGCATTTTTGGCATCAGTATCGATCACTAATCACCCTCTGATAGTTATTTTGAAAATATATTTCATGTACAGAATTGACCTCTCTACAGATTTATTATAAGTATAGATATAGATGGGAAAGTAAATGTGTCTGTCTCTCTTTCACGTCAAAACTACTGAAACGATTTAGATGATATTTTTGGTACACAGATAGTCTAGAGCCTGAGCCTGAGAAAGGACATAGGCTACTTTTTATTGCTAAAAAGGGGTTGTAAGCGGTTGAAAAGGGGGATGAAAGGTTGTATGAACCGATTTGACTGAAAATATTTGGAACACAGACAGTCCAGAGTCTGAGAAAGGACATACGCTATTTTTAATGCGAAAAAGAGGTTGAAAGGGGTTAAAAGTAAGAGGGATGAAAGGTTATGTCGCGGAAGTCTAAGGCTACGGCCGGATACTCGCGACACCCCCACTCGGGCGATGACGGTACGCCGCGGAGGTTTTAGTGGGTATACCCCGTCCTTTTAAGGACGGAGCAGCGCCCTTTTAAAGGGCGCCGGGAGTCCCACACACCACCCTGTCCCCCGGCAGTGGTGACAGTGCGCAAAGCATATCCTCCTCGACAAAAAAAAGGTATGAAAGGTTAAATGAAGGAATTAGAATCTTGAAACTTTTAGGGATACTTGATAGGGATACTCTCGATGTAATCCTATTGTCACCAAGTCAGGGTCTGATGATGGGATCCTAGGGAAATTCCCTAATGTTTATGTGACCCCTAATGTAACACATAAGGGAGAGTCCGCTAATTTGGACCATTTTTTTTAATCCCATTTTACACATAGTTTTCTTTTGTTATTGCTAATGTCCATGGTATATAATAAAACATAGGGGAAAGTAGTACGAGTTGATCCCCTGGGGTAAGATGATCCTTTGCGATTGTGCTGAAACCACTAACGTCATTTAGTTTCTTTCACTGGTAAAACATAGCTCTGGACACCTCCCCGCCTCAGTCAAATTGTAATGGTGGCGTGAGCGATACATCGAATTTGACCAGAAAAAAGATAAATTGTGTACTTTTAATCTAAAATAGGCATGACTTTGAGCTTATGCTGCTTTTATTCAAACAATGTTAAATGTAATTACTGTTGTCGTTAGGCTTTCTATTATGTTTAATTTTAATATTTTGGCCATAAAAACATGGACGCGTACTTGTAGATTATTTTAGCAAATATTTAACAAAAAGTGGGACTTGGGTCAAGATGATCCCTTCCTATATGTACGAGATGATCCCTGGGAATTAAAACAAAAAAGTCAATGGAGTAGGTAAAGGGAAGTGAAATAAAAGAAAGAGAACTTCATATAACTCACCTGAGTCTGAAGAAGATGATACTGAGTGGATGTACTGAACAGAAAAGTTTTCAAGCGATACCAAGGGTGAAGGATGGATAAAATATTATGCATGTGGAAAATGGGGCCATAAAGCATGTGCTGGGGTAGAGGGTGATGAAGCAGGTGAATTTATTAGTGATATATGCAACACAGCTCCAGCGAAAAAGCGTTTAAATTATTTAAACGCTTTTTAGCAGGTACTAAGAAAGATTAAGTTATTTTCGTTATTTAATTCGTAAATATTTTTCTTTTCTAACTTTTTAACGATTTGTTCGCATAAATAGGTACTCCGAAAGGAATACAACCAGAAAAGAATAGATCATAGAATAGAATCATAGGGATCATCTTACCCCTACCAGGGGGATCATCTTACCCACAGGGGTGTACAAGATGATCACTTTGTAAGATTTTGCAAAAAATGAAATATTTTAATGAAACCTCAATTAATTTCTGGTTTTGAGTATAAGGAAAGTTAGATAGATAAATATACTAGTAGTAATCGTCCTTATTTTTGGTTTACCTTGAAAAATATGTATTTTACAGCGATTCCCGCTTAAGGGGATCATCTCGTACTACTTTCCCCTACATTATTCAACTTACTATTTCATAAGTATTAATTAATATGATTGTTGTATATTTAGCACAAATCAACAAAGTACGAGTTCAAAACTTCGGTCCAATTTAGCCAACCGGTTCGATAATTTGTACCACAGGGTTACTAAATTGGATTTCAATAAATTTCAAGCCTATAAAAAAACAATGGCAAAATATTATACGATACATTCTTAACAAATTAGGAAACGAGAAGGAACAGTAGTTAATAACATAGACAATCGATATTGTTTTACACGTTATCACGATTTTGAGTAAAAGTTTTGTAATTCCAATTATCGTAAGCAGACTTGTACCTAATCTACTTTGCCAGTCTTTTGCTTTCATTTATTGTTAGTCAAACATAACTACGCTATTATAACTTCAAAATATGATTTACTAAAAAAAATTTGTAATCCTTTGGTAAAGTTCCATACAACTTGATGTGGTACAATTTAACCGACTAGGTGATAGTTCTTTTAAAAAATCGGTATAAAATATAGCTTATAAATACCGAAAAATGTTTTAAATAATTGTAATCCACACTAATTTACGCTTCTAAATAATATGTTAGAAACATCCTGTGATTAAATTTAACAAAATTACAAACTAAACATGTATTGTCAAAAGTTACTTGAAAACAATGAAAAAATACTTTTCTAAATAAAACACACGTGTTTGTTGTCACGGCAAAAACCACATGGCCGATATTAATTGAATTTAGTTGTGTATCGCTGAGTGTTGCAATTACAGACATTCAATAATTATACTTTACGAAACATGAGGGTGGTACAATTTACCCGGCGGTACAATATACCGAACTCTCCCCTAACAGGCATTATGTGTTCATAGAGGTCACTTAAAAATTGGGGATTGGTGGTGATAACGGGCATTAGACTTAATTACTTAAAGTAATTATTCCACTCGGACGAAGTCGCGGGCACAGCTAGTTATACATAAAAATCAGATTTACCTAACGGTATAACGTTACTAGAATTACAGTCTATTGAAATACAGAAAATGCCACCGTAAAAGTTAGACTTACGTTGTACCATAAAATATGATTTTTATGTATAATATTTGGGCAATAACAGGCCTGTTCTTCTCCGCGAGTTTACATCGAAAGCAAAACACGCACGATGGCACCCTACATTTATCTATCTCATCTTCGAATTGAGTAAAAATACAAACCATTTCCATCTTGCCTTTCCACTGATATACTATGTACGATAAAAGTAAATAAAAAACATGTTAATATAAACTTGTGTAACATGGTTCAGCGAGTTTAGTGTTTTCAGTCTAAGGTGAGACTACTTCGAATTCAGTTCGTCATGCAACTTTATGTTACTCACGGCCGAATACTGAAACGCTACTCAAATCTTTCACTCAGCTGACGGGCTCCTAAATTTAAGTATCCTTTAATTTTAAATGGTATTCTCAAACGCCACTCAACGGATTTGAAGCCGTGATCAGCTAAGCAGCTCTCAAATGTTTACATAATGGCAACATTTACCAAAAAAGTATGTTTTCATTTACACAAATGATAACTTTGCGTTTTTTATCCATTACACGCAGCATCGTTTGTTTATGTATTGTCTTTTATGTAAATATACTCAATCAACTTAACATAGAACAGTTTATTTTTAGTTTCTATTATATATAAATCTCGTTTTGTCATATAAAAAAATTAAGCTTGCATTTTTATTTCATTAAAAAAATAATTTTAAACGTGATACTTTTTATTGTTGAAATCTATTAAGTGGCGATCGTGGACCGAAACGTAACCACAATTGACATTTATCATTGTTGACTGACAGAGCATCAAATTGACAAATCAACAACTCTTGGAAATGCTGCTATGCGATGTCCCCTTAATCCTCAGAAATAGGCATGTTTATGTAAAGCGATTTCATAGCAGCTATTTTGGTTGTTACTTCGTGCACTATACGATGCACAGTTGGCTGTTAGATGTGGAAGATATCACCTAGTACACGTTCATAACTTCCCGTTGCGTAGAACAGTAGGGTTATAATAAGTATTTGGTCCACTGGTTGTATGGCATTTGGTGAGGGGTTTCAAAGAGCTTCCAAATTATGAATCCAGAAACAACACCGTTTCTTTAGAGACGCGGAACCTCGCTCGGAATTGCATGTCATTATAATAATATTTTTCAATAGCGTTCAGCCTTATTGCGTTCCTGCGATTAGATCTAGGTATTTCCTCGAGGCTCGAAAGAAATGATAACGATGACACAGACATTATTTACCACTATTTAGGTCGATTTAGGTATAAGAATAGGATTTAAGATACCGCGCAAGCACTCTCAAATTTAACGGCTGCTCAAGACGATTTGACAGTTGTTTGAGTAATGCTTATCGTTGAATGGCGTTTCAGTATGCGAAAATTCATTTGAGAGGCGTTTGAGTGCAACTTAATTTGAGAGGTGCTTAAAAATTGAGAACTGCTCAGATATTGTTTTGAGTATGCGAAATGTAAGTTTAGGAGCTGCTTAACTATTTGAGAAGCCGTCAAATATTTAAATGGCGTTTCAGTATTCGGCCGTCATTCTTATCATAATTATAAATTTTCAATCAAAAAAGTAATTGGTGCATGTATTCTTATTTTTATGGTATAGATTTTTATTACAAATATGATTAAAAATGACGATTGTTTTCTTCAGGCAGATATAAAAATTCTTATAGGTACATACACTTCTGGACACATCTTTTGATTTTTCAGTTTCGTTTGGTCCTAGCTAAAATTTTATATTAGGTCGAGCAAAAAGTTTTTATGCAATTTTGAACCTGGCACATTCACAATTTCATTCAATAGTCTTTTTTTTGAATTTCGAACACGGAATATAAAGAAACAAAAGACAATTTGGAGCCTGTGTGCTTACCATGAGTTTATAGATGACCCACGCTGAACTGTCCCACCAAACTCAATGACAGGGGGGCGCTACCATCGTTCAACTATATGGTTTCCAACATGGCAAAAATCTGAACCAGCGATCCGGTATAGACGGTGGCGCCCCACTGTCAATGTCATCGACAGGACAGTCCAGTGGGTCTAGACAAAGTGCAAATTATAATCGCAAACCAGTCGAAAAGTGGTCGAAAAGCCCCTTTTTTGTATGGAGTTTTGACGGATTCTATTTTCGATTCGATCAAAAAGTGCGTTTTGTCTAAGGGGGCAGTATTTTGGAACTATACGTTAGGTCATAGAGAAAAGTAATACATAGGCGTTAGGTGTGGTCGCTAGCGACTGCGTAAAAAAATGACATTTAAATGTATGACATATTGTGCAGCGCCCCCTAGCGGCTACTTTCAAGAAATAAAATCTTCATAAAGTTTTTTGACGTTCTCGCTAGCGAGCACACCTAACGTAAACTCATGGTAAGCACACTGTTTGTTGATATCAAACAATCGAACATTAAGGCCCGGTTTTTTGATTCGTAGTTAAAATAACCAATGGTCAAATTTGACAGATGTCAAATGACAAGTGGTTAAATATCAGAAAAAAATGTGTGCCAAGCCAAGTTCTACTCCAGAAGTGTGCTCATCCGCCACCGCCGCATTCACACAGGTGATTATGGACTATGGACCTTATGTTATTCGCGTTTCATCTCCAGTCGCGTTCGACTCGCGCTCCATTATCATTCCAGCTGAAGTGCAAATCGGGATCACGGTAAAGTTCACACGCTAACAAAGACGAAACAACAGATTTAGGCACTTTCTATTAAAAGTCCGACACCTTATTTTTCAAACTAAAATTACTAAAACAGCAAATTTTCGTGAAGCGTTTGACTTGCGTTTGAGAAAAAGTAGCTTACAGCAGCGACGTCATAACGTAAGCAGTTTACATTGCTTGCGTAGTACTAAAGATTATTCGAACGTTGAGTACTGATACCACAGTGGATAATGAGCACATATTTTGATTACTTTGTGTGTGTGAATTTCTAATGCGACATTGAGTTTCGAACTCAGGGCATTGATTGGCATATCTCTAATCTGTGGATGGTACAGTATGACGTTTGTTTCAGGTGAGAAACCTTACGTGTGCACCATTTGCGGCCGCGGCTTCATCTGCGGAGGCAGCCTGAAGGTTCACATGAAGGTGCACGGCCTGTTCTTCATCACGAAGAAGGACAAGCCAGCGGAGAATATCACTGATCTATTTAAAATGTAAGATTATTTATTTTATTATTATATCAATAAAATTATAAGATCTAATTTAGTAACTGAGTTTGTTTAAATCTTGGACATTCAGGATCTAGTCCCTAACTAAACAGAAAGGAACATAGTAATTTTTGCGTGAAAGGGAAAACATACACCCGCAGTGGTGGCAGTGGCGTAGCATAGGTTGGCACGCGGGGCGGNAATAACATCATTAGGCATTCAACACGCACTTAATATATATTATAGCCTAAGGCACCCCAGAATGGCACCCCCCCTGGCATGACATCACGACCGTCCTTGCCATGCAGATGCGTCAGTGAGTACTAATCTGCGCGACTTTGTCACCCCCTGATGCTTGGCACCCGGTGCGGACCGCCGCTACTGTACAACCGTCCATTTGTGAGAATGGCTCTAAAGCATGCTTTTGTTATGTTTGTACAGAAAAAATTATAGGTTCAGTTTTCAAGGGTATTTTATAACATTACAGCCTACAGGAGTTGTAACAGAGTAGGTAGGTAGGCCTTAAGTATTTTCGAGAAAACGACATCATTAACATTTATTTTCATTCTTTCATCCACTTAAAAAAAAGACAGCACTCGAATAAGTAGCAGTTTTTATTTATTTGATGTTCAAACTTTTTTTTGAGTTTGAATGGCACAGTCTTCGTTTCGCCTTCTTTACTTGGGGGTATACGTTGGTTGGAGAAATCAATTCCATTACCATACGTCGCGGCAGACGCCGTCGGAGCCCATTTGTTGATTCCCAGGGCAGTTGGGTGGGACGACGATCATGGCTCTGGGGGAGACTGCGCCCGGGGCTGCGGCCTCGGCAGGCGATTCTTCCTCAGTGTTGGTATCCCCCACTGTGTTATCGTCAGTTTTCTCGGCTGCCTCTTTGCTAGCCTCTACTTCGTCGAGGTAGACATTGCCTTCTTTCTGGTTGTCGTCCATTTCTGGTAGATAATAAGGGAGATTAGCGAATATCCTACACAATTCAAAAAGATACAAATGTTTTCAACTACCATACATTACTTAATCGTGCTTGGTTGCAGGTAAGTGCTTACCTAATTGTTAAAGATACATTTTCAGTAGGTCATGTGTAAAAAGGTTGACCAAACACCAGTACTTTATTATTTCCACCATTTCTGATGCAACTTCTTAGCATAGGCGCAGACCACCGACTTTTAGTTGGTCGATAGTCGGGCCCGATTCTAATTTGTATGAAGAATCGGCCGATACAATCATAGGATATTACTGATATCGTCACGATATTCAGTAGTAAATATTTATGCAACAACCGATATGGAACATAATAATAACGGTATTTTTCAAACCAGTTTCGGGCCTGGGTTTCTCCTCCTCTTCTTCAGTTTCTTGTTCTTGACCTTCGTCAACGTGACCAAAGAGAATAGGATCTGAAAAGTTTTTAATTTAAAATATGTACCTAAATTACCTAATAATATTAAGGTATCTGACATCATAGTAGAGTTAAGACTTATATTTTTATAATATATTTTCCCATGCTTGGGCACGTTTTATTACTTACGGCATCTGGTTAAAGTGCTCAGCGACCTAATGTTGTGAATTAACGCGTTGGTCATCAGAGAAATGATGTGGTGCTCTAGAATATGCTTGAAATTCGCGATCATTCTGTTGGCTGGACCCTCTATGGTCAATGATTCTGGCCTAGAACAGAAATGTGGGCATAACGAAGTTGCAAGTATACTCATACCTATATTTGTATCAAGTTTTAGTCCAACTTACTTCATCTGACGAATGAAATCGAACCGTAGATCCACGGTCTCCGGCTCTTTTACGAGTTGCATAGCCATGTGCGACGTGAGCTCATCTGCCGTCATGATCATCAATCCGTTGAGGGGGGGCATTCCATTCGACAGTTGTGCATTATATTTGTATACCACCTGGTGAATTAGAACTTTGGTCAAACAGATTGCAGCACTCCGCGAATTTATTTAACTTCTTTTCTTGAGGAGCAAAGGCTATGTTACGCGAAGAAGGTACCTTCAGGGAACTGAAGCCAACGATTGCGTCGACCATGCGTACGTCTTTGTCTTTCTTGCCGGTGGCCATTGAGCGGCGGTACATGGAATCCAAGCCTCGAAGAACTCCATCTCTGAGTTTTATTTCCTAAAAACAAAATAAATGAATAACGCCCATTAAAAACAATTTCAGCCATAGATATGAGCCGTAAATGATTGTAGTCGATCACTCATCGTTTACATATTTATGTACCGACGACGGCACGTCAACGTAACCACGGTGGGGTCTTGTGCAGTTATAATAAGGGCGAGTTTGCAACAAAAATGGGTAACCTGATGTGCTGTCGTGTGTACATGCACATTTTGAATACCTAATTTGAGATAGGCACCGCACTGACTCAGTGCTCTAAACACAAGACAAGCTGTTTACTCGTAGTAGCACAATATTTAGAAGTCTGTGATTTGAACGCTGATCGCGTCCGGCCGTTTAACGCTGAGCGACGACATCGCGTTAATTAAAAAAGAAGAGTACATTTTAACCTAATTCAATGGTAAATATTGTTTGAGTGAAAAATGTGGAGTGACAGAGAATTAATTAACAGCAGAATATTTATTTTAGGCGTTTTTATTACCATTCCAGTGATAGAGAAAATGCTAAAGTTGGGTAATTTCACGGACGTGGAGTTGACTTTGTGAAGTTTAGACTTCAATTCCATTATAGAGTCTTCAACGTAGCTGTTCAGTATTGCAGTTTTCTGCTTTTCATATTCCCTGAAGAAGCAATAATATGTTTAATATTTACCGTCAATAAGTGTCTACTTTTTAAAGTCATAAAAGGTGACTAAGGCTAACTACGAACATCTGGCCTCTCCAGCCCGTCTTGGCCAGCATGGGAAGCGTAGGCCAGAAGACAAAATCCTCCATTTTATGCTTCTGGTAAAGAGAGGAATCTTTTATAACTCAAAACATTACTAAAGCCTGGTCCGTGAGCACGTAGAATCCCGTCCAATGACCCCAAGCTACCCATCCTTGTCGCTCGCGCGTAATGTATATTTATATTATATTGCTGTCGCGCATAATTACGTGCGAGCGACAAGGATGGGCAACTTGGGGTCATTGGACGGGAATACGGGATTCTACGTGCTTTACACAGAATTCTAATTCTACCAGCCCCTTTTCATCACCGGGAACCAGACGCAGGTTAGCGTACCATCCCTACATTGTCGACATTCCACCAGCTTGGACTAAGCGATTCGATAACTCTTTTATAATGCAAACAGGCTCAATGGACACAAAACTATTGTTTTTTGTTATTGAATTAGATTTATCAGCAACCCAACTACACATATTTAGTTTTTTACTTAACTGGTCTACTTTTCAAAGTCAAAGTCAAAGTCAAAGTCAAAATTTTCTTTATTTGTTTAGACTAATAAATAGTTCTTACAAATCGTCATTTTGCTCTTAAGGAGCCTCTACATGTCTCATAATCTTTTTACCCTACCAGCGCTTCGAGACCAACATTTGGCAAGTGCTGAGAAGAAGCGCCGCAACAAACTCAGTCACCACTGTCTGCCGGTTAATATAAATAAATAGAAATAGTAGTAGTAGGTACATTCGATTCAGGAGCAGTTCACTGAATTTACCATGCATTCTACTTAGTTCATCAACCCACCGATATTTTTTAGATGCTGCTGGTCCGATTTTGTTGAAAAATATTAAATGCTCGTTGTAGTAATCACGTAGCCATTCATCTAAGTCTGACTTCATTCTTTCGATGAAGTCATCTGTAAATGATTTATAGCTAAAAATTCATTTGACTTTTGAATAGGTACAATCAGCGTCAAATAATTCGCGACATCCAAAGTGGTCAAAAAGTTAACAACACAACCTTATAGACGTGTTGCGAACTTTTTGGCTTACTTTGAGTGTCACGAACGCTAGTGTATTTGACGCTGACTGTACCTATTAGTGCTCGTGAAAATTAGATGTGGCTGCCAAGGAAAGGAACAGATTGCTACAAGTTACGAATTGCATATACATACCGGTTACAGCCTCGTTTAATGGTATGGGATTGTTTTGGGTTGCATTGTTTTTGTACTGAAATATGAATGAAATAAGATAAGTACCTTGCACCCCACCTTCCTTCAAAACCTAACCTCTTAAGCACGAGTATTATACTACTGAGTATGATCTGTAATACTTGGCTTTCGATTAATATTAACTTACTATCATCACAGCGTCATAATAAGATATTTCTGAATTGATTAAAACAATGAATAGACTATCTTCTAGCATTCGCATTCTACCTTCCATTTTGTATTCCACATTCCGAAGAAGAATTCTGTAACAAATACATAAATAAATATAAGTAGGTACCTACCAGTAGATTTTATTATGCGAGTATGTATTTTCGTCTTTTACTTTGACCAATAGCATCTTTTGAAGGCCTACGCCTTCTGGTTACTAAAAATTAATAATAATAAATTAAAAGGACAAAGTTAAGTGGTGCAACTCAGGCTAAGATTTTGATAATTTTAACTTATGTAGTCTAAAGTAACTAAAAATATTCTGGACAGGATCCAGATTCGGTCTAAGAAGACAAAGAAACAATATCTCCATATCGCTTCGTTACGAACGATCGCGTAATTAAGTCTGTCACGAACCAGATCACAGAAACTAAAGGGAGATGTGACAAGGGGGCGTGGCCGGTGTCGCAGCAATATGCCCAAAAACAGAACACATTTCTGGTGAATGCAATGATGACAGCAGCGACGTCATAATGTAAACAGTTTACATTGTTTGCTTATTAGTACTAACTAATGATAATTCGAACGTTGAGCACATAGGCATTTTGATTACTTTGTGTGCGTGAATTTATGTATAATGCGACACTGAGTCTCTATGGTCGCGAACATAGTGCATAATTATTTAATAGGTCTCATACTCACTCAGCTTGGCCAAAAGTAGGCACGTAGTAAAGTATCGATGGATCGTTATCGGTGATGGCTCTCTCGTAAGAGCCGACGAGGTGCAGGTCGTGGAGCGACAGCTGCGTCCGGATCTCCAGGTCCTTGAGGTTTGTATGCAAGTAGTTGATGCGGAAGCGGGTGTTGTTGCGCAGCTTCATGCGGTGGAAGAATCTGGCAGAGAAAAGGTTAATGCAGTCAATTTCTTATTCTTTTAAGCTTAGGTCTAACCAACGCGTGCAACCCGCGTCGGCGATGGCGATCACAGCGCGTGCATAGATAAGATTTTACGGATCAGATTTTTTTCTGTTCATCGTGGAAAATAAATGCTATTGCTGTTATTCTAAGTGCTCATTTGGGACTTACAAGACAGACTTCTCCATCTTCAGCATGCAGTAGCCGCCCAGGTTCAGCCCGGCTGGGATGTCGTTGGGGTTGCCCTTCTGCCCGCTCACCCTTCCACGAGAAGAGAGCATTGCCTAGTAGAATGTGATAGGTACTTTAAACTTCCAGAAGATAAGATACACTTTTATTATAATTATTTTCTTTTTGAACTTTGAATGCCAAGTTAAGTGCAAAATAGAAAAAAATGTAAAAGCTGAGGTTTGATGATGGTATTAGATAACTTACCTTAAGTAAATGTTTGTCGAATTCCTGATTGTCGGCGGTGATTTTGTTATGAAAGCTGTGTCGACATTTAGCATATCTCTCTGAAAACATACTACCAGTGGTGACGGGTTACACATGAAATGGGCATAGAGGCGCGAGATGTTGTATAATAATGACCTTTTTTGCGTTTTTCGTTCACACTTAGATAACCAAATAAAACTAGGCTTATTTTTCAAAGGACTAGTATCAAAACCGAGTGAGTGCTATCAACTATCTCATCTTCGAATGGGTACCCCAACATCCTGGGGTGGGCAATAGACCATTCTGGGGTGGGCAAGGCCCACCCGCAAATAATTTTTCTTACGAAGCGCTCCCTTTTTTCCGTTTGCTAGTGCCCCTTTGACAGCCGCTCGGGGCAGGGGCCTCGGATTCGGTTCCTGAGTACTTCCATCCTTAAAATTAACACAATTAACACATACCATCCAACGCGTCCATAGTCTCAAAGTGGTTCTTGGCGTTCAGGGTGATCCAGCAATGTTGATCGTCGACCTGCCGCGAGTCATCCAGGTGGGCCTCTACGCTATTGTCTGATGTGCGTTGAGTTTTTTTTACTGAAATAATAATGGCGGCAAGGGGTAAGTATGATCTACGAGTACCTACTAGGGCATGCAAAAACCGAGCGGTTTGGAAAAACCGGTTTTTTCGGTTTTCATTTTTAAAAACCGAACTAAACCGGTTTTTTCGGTTTTTTTCGGGTTTTTCGGGTCGACTGTTTGTAAGTAAATAAAAATGCTGCAAATTATAATAAAAATAATTTTATTTCTTTTATATTCTAGTTTGACAAGATGAAGTTACATGTTCTGAACATAATATTGTGAGATCAATTGAATAGTTTAATTAAAAATCAAATATAAAGAGATCAACAATAGGATACTTCGCTCATTAGCAAAGCAAAACCTTTGGTCAGGACTTCTTGGCGGGCGTCATGTTAGCGGTTTTGTTTTATTTCCTCAAATTCGTGTGTGGGCGACTATTAATGTGTAATAATGGTGGATTATTAACCATTGAGTGTTCGTGAACGTCCATGGGTGTGGGCAAGTGAAGCAAAACAGTGCATCGTGATTCTTCTGGTTCTCTCAAGTTGTCCATAGGAGGTCTCAGTAAAGCACCACAACTTTACTGAGACTCAAAGGGTGGGAAAGGGTATCATCTATCTATCTATGTCAGCCTTTGGGTTCGCCTTCGAACATAGGCCTCCTCTTCAACCCTCCACCGTTTTCTGTCCCTGGCCACACGCATCCAGTTCACTCCAGCCTGCTGCCGGATATCGTCTGTCCATCGTTTAGGCGGTCTTCCCCTGCCGCGGGTGTTGTTGCGGGGGCTCCACTCCAGGGTCTTTCTGGCCCAGCGATCCTGGTTCATCCGTGCAATGTGTCCTGCCCATCTCCATTTACGGCTCTCTATCTCTTCCACCACGTCGCTGATCCTCGTCTTTTCTCTGATCCACTCGTTCGTTTTGTGATCTTGTAGGGAGACGCCAAGCATCTGTCTTTCCATTGCTCGTTGTGCGACTCGGAGTCTCTCAGCAGACTTTTCTGTCAGCGTCGTGGTCTCCATCCCATACACGAAGACCGGCAGTACACACTGGTTGAACACCTTGGTCTTTAGGTGTTGAGCAATTTTCTTGGAGCGTAGAACATGGCTGTTTGCCCCGAATGCCGCCCAAGCTTGTCCGATGCGCCTTCCTACTTCCGCAACCTGATTCTCAGAATTCAGAGTGATTTTGTGGCCTAGATAGATGTAGTGGTCGACCAATTCTACAGGTAGGACGTGATTTTTCGCATTTTCAATGTTCGTCATGATTTTCGTTTTTGACAAATTCATTTTTAACCCTACTTTTGTATTCATCAGTGATTGAAAAATGTCATGAATACCGGAAGCCAATTATTATCACCTTCGTCGATTATGAGAAAGCATTCGACTCAGTGGAAGCATGGGCAGTGGAGAAAGCTCTGGCGGACAGTAGAGTTGATGAAAGGTACATCCAGCTCATTAAACACCTTCAGCTATCCGGAACATCCTCGATACGCCTCCATAAGTTAACCAATGCGTTTAGACTGGAGAGAGGAGTCCGTCAGGGTGACACCATATCGCCCAAGTTGTTCAACGCTGCCCTTGAAAATATCTTTAAAGAGCTAGATTGGACAAGCAAGGGAATAATAATCGATGGAGAAAGGCTAAACAACCTGCGATTTGCCGACGATATCGCACTGATCAGTGATAGCATTGAAGATATGATTGATATGGTAGACCAACTACAACGTGAATCAGCAAAAGTAGGGTTAATTAATCATCTATCATCCTTCATTATATCATTACTTGATCTCATTTTGTAACTCGTATCACTTATATACTGGAAAATGGCACAAATCAAGAAGAAAATTTGGTCATAGTTATGCTTATTTAAATAATATGTAAGTTGACACTGACAGAGACTAGCAAAGCAAAAATAATGGCGGCAATGGTCAAATACAAAGCGCGTTCCATTTTGCGCCCGCGCGCTTATGGCTTTAGCTAGAAGATACATGGTACTTTAGTTCAATACCATAGCCATATACTATACTCTACTCATTCACATTGCATTACAATAATTGTTTTTATTGATATGACTAAAGAAGCGTGTTCTTGTATGAGTTATTAAATTATCTAAAATCGTAGAAGAAAAACCGAAAAAACCGAAAAACCCGGATTTATAACTGACAAAAACCGAGTTCCAAATTGTGTCGGTTATCCGGTTTTTCGGTTATCTGGTTAACCGGTTTGCATGCCCTAGTACCTACTTTATAACCCAAAGATTCATATTAGGTTCTTTGAAAACTTCGTAACTTCCGTATAATTGTGTGTTCCTTAAATTAGACAGTAAAAATACATACCATTTCCATCTCGTCTGTCCATCGCCTTTCCATGCACAATAAAACTAAATAAAAAACATGTTAATATAAACTTGTGTAACATAGTTCAGCGAGTTTAGTGTTTTCAGTCTACGGTGAGACCACTTCAAATATCTTTTTAGGAATTCAGTTCGTTATGCAACTTTGTGGTACACAAGTTGTTAATATTCTTACCATAATTATAAATTTTCAATCAAAAAAGTCATTGGTGCTTGAATATTTTACTTTTATGGTATTGATTTTTATTACAAATATGATTAAATGACGATTGTTTTCTTCAGGCAGGTATAACATTTGAAAAGTTGTGACATAGGCAATCTTTATATATAAAAATGAAACCCGTTTCGCGTTGTCACGGCATCACGTGTGAACGGCTGAACCGATTTCGATAATTCTTTTTTTTAAATGTTTGTGGAAGTCCAAGGATGGTTCTTACGGAAAAAAATATTAAGAAAATCTCTACGCTAAGGCGGTACGAAGTTCGCCGGGTCAGCTAGTGTAATATAAATAAGTAAAAAGAAAAATTAGCGTGTTTCTCTTGTTTTTGTCTTTGTTTTTGTTATTGTTTCGCTGCTATTAAAGAGTCTACGAATATTAAGAAACTACTTTGAGAATCTTATGGTCTCTATCGCAGATCAATAAAGGTACTCGCATTTATTAAATACCATTTGAGAAATAAGTGATGGTCCCCTAAATCAAACAGTAGTAGGTACTCAACCTTCAAAAGTAATATAAAATATTATAGCTTCTGTAAAACTCATTGTCATTAACATGCTTTAGTTAAAATATGATTATAGGTACCGTGGTAATATAAAAAATACACACTATTCGTAATAGCAGTTTTTATTTATTTAGGTTCGTGATATTCAAACTTTCTTTGTGTTTGAATCGCACCGACTTCGTTTCGCCTTCTTCATTTGGGGGCAGTTCTATTTCTATGCTATCTTCTTTATCAACTATGTAGTCGGGATGGTTGTCGCGATTGTTGTCTGAAAGGTTGTTGTCATTGTTGTCCACATCGTTGTCGGGATCTTTGTCGGGTTCGTTGTCGGGATGTTTATCGAGTTCGTTGTCGGGAAGATTGTAAGTATATTCTTCGGGGTCCTGATTATCTATATCATCCAATGTATTTTTCTGTTCCTCCTCCTTTTCTTCAGTTTCTTCTTCTTGACCTTCGTCAACGTGACCAAATAGAATAGGATCTGAAAAGTTTTAATTTAAAATAATGTAATAATATTAATGTCACCATAGTAGAGTTAAGACTTATATTTTTGTTATACATTTTCCCATGCTTGGGCACGTTTTATTACTTACGGCATCTGGTTAAAGTGCTCAGCGACCTAATGTTGTGGATTAACGCGTTGGTCATCAGAGAAATGATGTGGTGCTCTAGAATATGCTTGAAATTCGCGATCATTCTGTTGGCTGGACCCTCTATGGTCAATGATTCTGGCCTAGAACAGAAATGTGGGCATAACGAAGTTGCAAGTATACTCGTACCTTATTTACTTATATCAAGTTTTAGTCCAACTTACTTCATCTGACGAATGAAATCGAACCGTAGATCCACGGTCTCCGGCTCTTTTACGAGTTGCATAGCCATGTGCGACGTGAGCTCATCTGCCGTCATGATCATCAATCCGTTGAGGGGGGGCATTCCATTCGACAGTTGTGCATTATATTTGTATACCACCTGGTGAATTAGAACTTTGGTCAAACAGATTGCAGCACTCCGCGAATTTCATCATCATCATCATCATTTCAGCCACAGGACGTCCACTGCTGAACATAGGCCTCCCCCAATGCTTTCCATGTTGATCGATTGGTAGCGGCCTGCGTCCAGCGCTTCCCTGCTACCTTTACGATGTCGTCGGTCCACCTTGTAGGTGGACGTCCCACGCTGCGTTTTCCGGTACGCGGCCTCCATTCCAGAACCTTTCTGCCCCATCGGCCGTCAGTTCTGCGTACTATGTGCCCTGCCCATTGCCACTTCAGCTTGCTAATACGTCGGGCTATGTCAGCGACTTTGGTTCGTTTACGGATCTCCTCATTTCTGATTCTATCTCGCAAAGAAACACCAAGCATAGCCCTCTCCATAGCACGCTGTGCAACTTTGAGCTTCTGTATAAGGCCTATAGTGAGAGGCCACGTTTCCGAGCCATAAGTTATCACTGGTAACACACATTGGTTATACACTCTAGTCTTCAGGCATTGAGGTAATTTGGACGAAAAGATGTTGCGTAGTTTCCCGAACGCTGCCCAGCCGAGTTGGATTCGACGATTGACCTCCTTCTCGAAATTGGACCTACCTAGCTGAATCGTTTGTCCGAGGTAGACATACTTGTCGACAATCTCGAGAATTGAGCTCCCAACTGAAACTGGGTAGGGCGTAACATGGACATTCGAATCCGCGAATTTATTTAACTTCTTTTCTAGAAGAGCAAAGGCTATAATATGTTACGCGGAGAAGGTACCTTCAGGGAACTGAAACCAACGATTGCGTCGACCATGCGCACGTCTTTGTCTTTCTTGCCGGTGGCCATTGAGCGGCGGTACATGGAATCCAAGCCTCGAAGAACTCCATCTCTGAGTTTTATTTCCTAAAAACAAAATAAATGAATAACGCCCATTAAAAACAATTTCAGCCATAGATATGAGCCGTAAATGATTGTAGTCGATCACTCATCGTTTACATATTTATGTACATGCACATTTTGATTACCTAATTTGAGATAGGCACCGCACTGTCTCAGTGCTCTAAACACAAGACAAGCTGTTTACTCGTAGTAGCACAATATTTAGAAGTCTGTGATTTGAACGCTGATCGCGTCCGGCCGTTTAACGATGAGCGACGACATCGCGTTAATTAAAAAAGAAGAGTACATTAAAATATTGTTTGAGTGAAAAATGTGGAGTGACAGAGAATTAATTAACAGCAGAATATTTATTTTAGGCGTTTTTATTACCATTCCAGTGATAGAGAAAATGCTAAAGTTGGGTAATTTCACGGACGTGGAGTTGACTTTGTGAAGTTTAGACTTCAATTCCATTATAGAGTCTTCAACGTAGCTGTTCAGCATTGCAGTTTTCTGCTTTTCATATTCCCTGAAGAAGCAATAAATGTTTCAAAAAGGTGACTAAGGCTAACTACGAACATCTGGCCTCTCCAGCCCGTCTTGGCCAGCGTGGGAAGCGTAAGCCAGATGGAAAAATCCTCCATTTTTTGCTTCTGGTAAAGAGAGGAATCTTTTATAACTCAAAACATTACTACACAGAATCCTAATCCTACCAGTCCCCTTTCATCAGCGGGAACCAAACGCAGGTTAGCGTACCATCCCTACATTGTTGACATTCCGCCAGCTTGGACTAAGCGATTCGATAACTCTTTTGTTTTTTGTTATTGAATTAGATTTACAAACAACCCAACTACACATATTTAGTTTTTACTTAACTCCTCTACTTTTACAACTCTTACATTTAGTTCATCAACCCACCGATATTTTTCCGATGCTGCTGGTCCGATTTTGTTGAAAAATATTAAATGCTCGTTGTAGTAATCACGTAGCCATTCATCTAAGTCTGACTTCATTCTTTCGATGAAGTCATCTGTAAATGATTTATAGCTAAATATTCATTTGACTTTTGAATAGGTACAATCAGCGTCAAATAATTCGCGACACCCAAAGTGGCCAAAAAGTTAACAACACAACCTTATTCCAATTGTAACAAGGACGTGTTGCTAACTTTTTGGCTCACTTTGAGTGTCACGAACGCTAGTGTATTTGACGCTGACTGTACCTCGTTAGTGTACTTGTTAGTGCTCGTAAAAATTAGATGTGGCTGCCAAAGAAAGGAACAGATTGCTACAAGTTACGAATTGCATATAACTACATACCGGTCACAGCCTCGTTTAATGGTATGGGATTGTTTTGGGTTGCATTGTTTTTGTACTGAAATATGAATGAAATAAGATAAGTACCTTGCACCCCACCATCCTTCAAAACCTAACCTCTTAAGCACGAGTAGGTATTAATACTACTGAGTATGATCTGTAATACTTGGCTTTCGATTAATATTACTTAACTTACTAACATCACAGCGTCATAATAAGATATTTCTGAATTGACTAAAACAATGAATAGACTATCTTCTAGCATTCGCATTCTCCCTTCCATTTTGTATTCCACATTCCGAAGAAGAATTCTGTAACAAATACATAAATAAATATTAGTACCTACCAGTAGATTTTATTATGCGAGTATGTATTTTCGTCTTTTACTTCGACCAATAGCATCTTTTGAAGGCCTACGCCTTCTGGTTACTAATAATTAATAATAATAAATTAAAAGGACAAAGTTAAGTGGTGCAACTCAGGCTAAGATTTTGATAATTTTAACTTATGTAGTCTAAAGTAACTAAAAATATTCTGGACAGGATCCAGATTCGGTCTAAGAAGACAAAGAAACAATATCTCCATATCGCTTCGTTACGAACGATCGCGTAAGTCTGTCACGAACCAGTACCTCTAGTACGAAAAACTTTCGAGTTCGTTTCGTTGCGTATTCAGTGTCATCGAAAAATTTTATATGAAAAATTAAACAGCGCCCCCTAGGGCGGCTATAATATAGGGGGCGCTGTTTAATTTTTCATACAAAATTTTTCGATGACACTTTGAATACGCAACGAAACGAACTCGAAAGTTTTTCGTACTAGAGGTACAGATCACAGAAACTAAAGGGAGATGTGACAAGGGGGCGTGGCCGGTGTCGCAGCAATATGCCCAAAAACAGAACACATTTCTGGTGAATGCAATGATGACAGCAGCGACGTCATAATGTAAACAGTTTACATTGTTTGCTTATTAGTACTAACTAATGATAATTCGAACGTTGAGCACATAGGCATTTTGATTACTTTGTGTGCGTGAATTTATAATGCGACACTGAGTCTCTATGGTCGCGAACATAGTGCATATTTAATAGGTCTCATACTCACTCAGCTTGGCCAAAAGTAGGCACGTAGTAAAGTATCGATGGATCGTTATCGGTGATGGCTCTCTCGTAAGAGCCGACGAGGTGCAGGTCGTGGAGCGACAGCTGCGTCCGGATCTCCAGGTCCTTGAGGTTTGTATGCAAGTAGTTGATGCGGAAGCGGGTGTTGTTGCGAAGCTTCATGCGGTGGAAGAATCTGGCAGAGAAAAGGTTAATGCAGTCAATTTCTTACTCTTTTACACGCCCCATACTGTCTTGTCCTATCACTAGAAGAAGGTAAGACGTGTTGAGGAGTTTTTGTCTACTTTGGGTGTCACAAACTATTAGACGCTGAATGTGAGAGTGGTCTTCCAGGGTATTACGGGCACGGATTACACGCCCTTCGCTGGAATTTCATAATGTAATAAGAGCCCGCCTTTATGGCCACGTCGAGTCAAGGACCAAACTGATTTGTTCAATAAAGCGTGATAATGTTGAGTGGTTATAATCTTTTAATGGACGCAGTTACCCAAATAGCGATGTTATGGCCGTCCGCTTTTTACTTGTAAACGACATGCCATATCGGGGATTCTGGAATATAATGGAATATAGGTTAACTGGCAGAGAATGCCGAATTAGCTTTATGTACCTACCAATTATATGGCATTAAAGATCAAATAAATAAATGAAAATAATGCGTACCTAAGTAGGTACCTATGCGAAAAAAATATTGACATTACTACAAGCAGTACTGAACCAGCTTCGCTTGAAGTTGGTGGTACTATGGAACCTATCCAGAAATGTTTATTTACGAAGTAAGGGTTCCTTTACTTCTTTTTTAAATGTTCGAAAAGAAAGGCATACACTGGTATTTCGTTAAGTACCTACTAATTTGGGACTTACAAGGCAGACTTCTCCATCTTCAGCATGCAGTAGCCGCCCAGGTTCAGCCCGGCTGGGATGTCGTTGGGGTTGCCCTTCTGCCCGCTCACCCTTCCACGAGAAGAGAGCATTGCCTAGTAGAATGTGATACTTTAAACTTCCAGAAGATAAGATACGCTTTTATTATTATTATTTTCTTTTTACACTTTGAATGCCAAGTTAAGTGTAAAATAGAAAAAAATATAAAAGCTCAGGTTTGATGATGGTATTAGATAACTTACCTTAAGTAAATGTTTGTCAAATTCCTGATTGTCGGCGGTGATTTTGTTATGAAAGCTGTGTCGACATTTAGCATATCTCTCTGAAAAAAAAAATCATATACCTAGACTAAAAACATACTACCTACCAGTCAGTGGTGACGGGTTACACACATGAAATGGGCATAGAAGCACCAGTAGATGTTGTTTATTGATGATCTAAATTTTTGCAAAATTTTTTTTTTTTTTTTTNCGAAAAATTTTCTTGATATCATTCTATTTATCGCACATTTTGGATTAATCTATGCATGTTATGTCATGTCGCTTAGTGTGCCATGTTAGATTCTCGCTAAAAGAAAAAAAAATAAGCTCAGAAGAAAGACATCAATATTGGAATTATGGTCGGGTGGTCGCTGCTCCGCCCCTATTGGTTGTAGGGTGATGTTATATAACCTAAAACCATCCTTGATAAATGGGCTATCTATAACAAAAATAATTTTTCAAATCGGACCTGAGATTAGCGCGTAAACTACAACAATTTTTCATACGGTCATAACTTTTTACTGACAGCTTATTTTTTTTTCGTCCCATACTGAAAGTTAATCTCTATTTAATGGACTATAAGCCAATATAGGTCTCATTAGTGGTGGACATTTGGACCACTTTTGGTCATTGTCCTTTTTAACAAGCACGTTGATTTGGTGATTAATAAAACATTGTAATGTACCGTACAACTCGATTGAGCTAACTGCGCATCCCCTGGAATGCGACTCTCTCACTTACCTGCACACCTCCCCTCGTTCGCCCCGTGCCCGTGCCCCGTCGTACCAGAGCGTCATGTGACGTCATGTGACGTCATGTGACGTCAAGGCTGCCAGGTGCGCAGTTAACTGGACCGGGTTATATCACTTAACGATGATCATACATATACACACACATACACACACACACACACACACACACACACACACACACACACACACACACTTTTTTTTATCCACAACGAGGAAGCTCTTGGCCTGTATCTCACCTGATGGTAAGTGATGATCAGGCCGAAGGTGGAAGCGAGCTTCACCCGGAATCCTCAACCACGGAGGAACTGGCTATCTTACCTCTAACTGCCGGAACACAACAATGCTGTTAACATTGTTGTTATGGCGACAGACTTAGGTAAGATGGTGGTAGCTAGCCAGGCGGACTTAGAACAAGCCCTACCACCAACCAAACCGAACAGAAAATTCTGCCCCCACTGGGAATCGAACCCGGGACCTCTGCGTCTGAAGCAGGTGGTCTAACCACTAGACCACAGAGGCGGTTATTTCGTTCACATTTAGAGAATCGCATAAAATGTGGTTTGATGGTGGCCTCTTTGATGGATTACGGGGGGACTAGTATCATAACTGAGTGAGTACTATGACCCTTTTTTCCCTTTTGTTCTTTTGCTAGTGCCCCTCTAACAGCCGCTCGGGGCAGGGGCTTTGAATTCGGTGCCTGAGTACTTCCATCCTTAAAATTAACACATTATGTACCATCCAACGCGTCCATAGTCTCAAAGTGGTTCTTGGCGTTCAGGGTGATCCAGCAATGTTGATCGTCGACCTGCCGCGAGTCATCCAGGTGGGCCTCTACGCTATTGTCTGATGTGTGTTGAGTTTTTTTTACTGAAATAATAAATGGCGGCAAGGGGTAAGTATGATCTACGAGTAGGTAGGTACTCGTACTTTATAACCCATAGATTCTTATTAGGTTCTTTGTAAACTTCGTAACTTCCGTATAATTGTTTGTTAAATTATAATTCGACAGTAAAAATACAAACCATTTCCATCTCGCCTTTCCACCGATATACTATGCACGATAAAACTAAATAAAAAACATGTTATTATAATCTTATGTAGCATAGTCCAGGGAGTTTAGTGTTTTCAGTCTATTAGATACGGTGAGACCGTTTCAAATATTCAGTTCGTTAAGCAACTTTGTGTTACACAAGTTGTTAATATTCTTATCGTAATTATAAATTTTCAATCAAAAAAGTCATTGGTGCTTTAATAAATTACTTATATGGTATTGACTTTTATTGCAAATGTGATGTGAATGACGATTGTTTTCTTCAGGTACAAAGTTCTTATATCTGAAAAACTGTTACATAGTCAATGTATTAGTAAATAGAAAAATGCGGGTGTTTTTCTTGTGTTTGTTATTGTGTTTCGTTGCTAATATAGAGTCAACGAATATTGAGAAAAATGTGATGAAGTACTTTGAGAATCGTAAGTGTTGTAAACTATCGCAGATCAATTTAGGTTCTCGCATTTATTAATGCTATACCATTTGGGAAATAGTGATGGTCTCCTATATCAAACATTAGCCGATTTCAAGACTAGGGTTTATGATTTCTCGATCTTTTCAATTTCTCGGGTCTCGAGAATTCTCGAGGCTGATTTCTCGGGTCTTCTCGGGTTGTGGAGAAATTTACATTTAAACGTTTTCTCATGTTATTTGGTTCCAACAACGTCAACAAATTCAGTGGTTTTCCTATCAAATTAAGGGGCCTTAGCAAGTGAAAACGGCAATATTGACTGTTTTCTGTACTGAAAAGACAATGCCGGAAATTGACTTTTTTTTTTTAGAGGTATACAATATGTCATAGTAAGTTTGGTTTATTACACTATTTTGTAATCAAAAAATAAAGTTTGGTCGATGGCCGCGCGAAAAAAAAAAGACGCCACCTTCCATAAAAAATCTGGCATTGCCATTTTCAATATTTTCGAAAAAATTCCGATGGTGAAGTGTCAATCAATAATAACTATCATTTTGGCGATTTATGTTTTATTGCTGTCTGTCTGTCTGTCTCGCTTTCACGCCTAAACCAATGAACTGATTTTGATGAAATTTGGCATAGAGATAGTTTGAGTCCCGGGAAAGGACATAGGATAGTTTTTATCCCGGTTTTTGAAACAGGGACGCGCGCGATAAAGTTTTCCTGTGCAAAGTTCGGAAGTAGAGGCGACATACGTGTAGGTACGTGTTTGTCGGGAGGCGGACTTTCTTTTTTTAACCAATTCCGGAACTAGAACCGGAATTCCGGAGTTGAGTGCCCAATATCGGAAATCAGTTCTGGAATTGAAAACTATCAGATATTGCAAGCCCTACTGTGTACTTCGATGTCGTACATTGCGCGGATGACTGAGGCATGATGATGTTTACGGATTAATTACTAAAAGCGTGATGACGCTAATGAAATGAAACTTTGTACATATACCTACTAAGGAGGTTATTGGCAAATTAATTAAATTTAGCGCGAGTCAATAATAGCACTTGAAGATACTTAGGCTCAAAACTTTTCAGCCGCCCCTCGTACCTGCATGATTTCTCGACTTTTCTCGAGTTTGATTTCCCGGGAACAAAGCCCAACGATTTTCTCGAGCCGAGAATTCCCGGGAAATCGTAGGGCTTTGTTCCCGGGAAATGAACTCTAATTTCAACTTTTAATCAATCTTCAAAAGTAATATAAATAAATAATAATAATAATAAATAAATATCCTTGGACATTTTACACTTCGCTTCTAGTCCCACACTAAGCAAAGCTTGTACTATGGGTACTAGACAACGGATATAAACATACTTAAATACTTTTTTTTTTGTAAATATATACATATTATACATAGAAAACACCCAATCCAATACAAACAAATATGTTCATGCACACAAATGTTTGTACTGTGGATAAAATAATGCTTCTGTAAAAATTTAATTAAACTGAACACAGGTAGTTGGTACATGCTCTAGTAATATTAAATCGTGCTTACAGCAATAATCAAAACTTTCAATGACAAATGGAAGAAGTTTCGAAAACCTATAGAAAATTCGATAGAGTTGGTAAGTTTTTGAAATGTAATTTTTGTAGTACAACTTTGCTTAAAATAATTTGGTATCTATGTATGTATCTTTCTATCTCAAACCATAGTGTATATTTGATTTGATGTGACCTGCTTCGTAATTACAAAGGACAATGACCAAAAATGTATGGAGTGTGGTCCAAATGTCCACCACTAATGAGACCTATATTGGCTTATAGTCCATTAAATAGAGATTAACTTTCAGTATGGGACGAAAAAAAAATAAGCTGTCAGTAAAAAGTTATGACTGAATGAAAAGTCATGTTTTTTACCTTTTCATCCGAAAAATTTTCTTGATATCATTCTATTTATCGCACATTTTGGATTAATCTATGCATGTTATGTCATGTCGCTTAGTGTGCCATGTTAGATTCTCGCTAAAAGAAAAAAAAATAAGCTCAGAAGAAAGACATCAATATTGGAATTATGGTCGGGTGGTCGCTGCTCCGCCCCTATTGGTTGTAGGGTGATGTTATATAACCTAAAACCATCCTTGATAAATGGGCTATCTATAACAAAAATAATTTTTCAAATCGGACCTGAGATTAGCGCGTAAACTACAACAATTTTTCATACGGTCATAACTTTTTACTGACAGCTTATTTTTTTTTCGTCCCATACTGAAAGTTAATCTCTATTTAATGGACTATAAGCCAATATAGGTCTCATTAGTGGTGGACATTTGGACCACTTTTGGTCATTGTCCTTTTTAACAAGCACGTTGATTTGGTGATTAATAAAACATTGTAATGTACCGTACAACTCGATTGAGCTAACTGCGCATCCCCTGGAATGCGACTCTCTCACTTACCTGCACACCTCCCCTCGTTCGCCCCGTGCCCGTGCCCCGTCGTACCAGAGCGTCATGTGACGTCATGTGACGTCATGTGACGTCAAGGCTGCCAGGTGCGCAGTTAACTGGACCGGGTTATATCACTTAACGATGATCATACATATACACACACACACACACACACACACACACACACACACACACACACACACACACACACACACTACAATAACAAATCCTAGTGTTCCTTTTCTGATTAGATTAATTAGGTTAATTAATAGTTAATACGTTGCCATACATCACTACCATGTCTGAGTCATAGTAATATACTATCGGTTCTTAAATTAATTCTAAATTGTGCCAATATCTGGGGTGGTGGGAGCCTGATGACCTGTACTACAGGTATGCAAATACCTATCACAGGCATCAGTCTCACACAAACAACTGTGTTTTATGAATTTGTAATGTGCTTAATAACTTGTGTCATTGTAATGTTTGTGAAAAAAAAAAAAAATATTTATAGATCCTGAAAGAAACATCAGGCACAGAAGGCATGAACGTGCGTGTGAGGAAGTCTGAAGACTACAACAGATTAACGGAGGGTATCATTGTCAACGATAACATTGTGAAAGTGTAAGTTACTTGTTAAATACTCCATCAATCTCTCGTATCAGTGATGTAAATAGAGCCTTAGATTTATTAGGAACTTGTTTTGTAGTCTCTATAGTTTGTCTAGATGTGAACAAGGGTAAAGGCACAAATAGCTAAAGGTGGTTGGAATTGGCTTTCGTTCGTTCGTTTCAGCCAAATGACGTCCACTGCTGGACAAAGGCCTCCCCCATCCAGGCACCTCCCGCGAACTACACCAGATCGTCGGTCCACCAAAAACGTTTCTGCCCCAGCGGCTCAGCTCAGCTCGGCTCAGCTCTATCAGCTATGTGCCCCGCCCACTGCCACTTGATTTTAGCAATTCTGCGGGCTATGTCGGTCACTTTGGTTCTCCTGCGGATCTCCTCAATGTGAAATGGCTTTACCTTATCTGTAATCGTCATTTAATTCACGTCCGACGTGGTCAGTTTGATTCGATAATTGGGAATATGCATCGGTTTTACTAGATTATTCTTATACTAGCGGCCGCCCGCGACTTCGTACGCGTGTATCCCGCTTTAACCCTAGATAGCTAACCTCCGTCGATTCGACGGGCATTGAAAAGAAATAACGTTGTAACTTTTTAATGCCACGTCCAAACGTTTTATCCCGGCTAGCCAACTCAGTGGCCGGGAAGTCCTTTGCAGTGGTGTAGGCAGTGGGCAGGTAAGTTTCATAGTTTTAAAGATATTTGATCTTTGCCCGTCGTTTCGACGGATGGTTAGCTTTACCGTAAGTAATTTAGTTCAAGTGCACGTATACATTTTTTTGATAAATTTGATATTTTTTTAGATTTTCATATTGTTTTCATTAAAAAACGATAAAATAATAAATCTACTACTATAAGAAGATACTAACGATGCCCTGGATGCTAGTCCTGCCCTTGAGACCGAAAACTTTATGGTGGAAGATGATGTGCAAAGTAATCATAATTATTAACCATGAGATTATGAGGAAAGTTATGAAAACCCACCATCAGACTTGTCTTCAGACGTGGAACGTGATTCGTCAATTACTTCAAATACCGTTCCCTCGGAAATTACAAAAATCAGCATTATATCATCATTATATCATATAAAAATATGCGGTAAACATTAAGTTGATTTTTGTGTCACTTGCGCTAAAAAGAAAAAAAATATTTTATGATTTTATTACTTTAAATGTTTTTACGTACCATATTAAGAAAAAAAAACGATAGTTTTATTTAAAATTTTCATAGATATTGCATGTCAAAGTGGTTACTTACAAAATGTTCCAATTTCTTTAGAGGTCTAAGAAAAAGTATTTTAATTTAATAAATAAATAAATAAGGTGAATTTAAATAATGCACATTTATTTACAAACATATGAATGAACCAAACTATAAAAAAGACTTAGATTTTTTAAATTACTTCGTCCAAAAAATAATATTTTTTTAATACCCGTCGTTTCGACGGATGGTTAGCTTAAACAGGGTACGCCGGAAGGTTAGCTATCTAGGGTTAAAAGGAACCCCCATGCAAGAGACTCCTAGCACTTGTAGTTTCTGAGATTTCGTGATGAGTAGGTGAGTGAGTCAGTGGCTTTCGCTTTTATACTCGTAGATAATGTAGATATGGTGGGCCAACATTTTTTGCAAATAGCAACCCTTGAGATTGAGGCAAACGGTTCGAGGTAGAGAGGCGTGGGGTAATGGGAAACTATGCATAAATTCATGCAATTTTAGTCACGATAGAGCGCTTCAGGTAACAACATCGTGATTTTTGTATACATTTTTACTACCTTTGATATGTGTGCTACGACCTTAAGTATGAAAAGTTTAACGGGATTACAATTTAACTTCCAAAGTAAAAGTGAGTAAGTAAAAAATTTTTACCGATTTTCTGGTCCTATTAACCTATCATTCCGCTTATTTTGCAGGCTCCTCAAAGATCTGTATCTTTCGAATCTTGACAAACCGTACTTGAAAGACCCTGAAGTGTCTTTCGATCTCGGCTCGCACGTGCTTTCGATGGAGTCGAAAGTCAGCAGAATGTTCATCACTGCTGAATACCAGCTGTTCAGGAACCTGTCAGACGTGACGTACAGTTCCTTGGGGTACGAAAACTCACCGTTCAACCTTCAAAAGGTTCAGAACGAAGGAGAAGTTACGTAAGTTACATTTGACACTTAGCGCCAAAATGTACTTTGATGTCGTCTTCAAATTAGTATTTTTGATAATCTGCATGAAGCAGCAAGACTCTACATAGGTACCTATACAGGGTTACTTGATTGGAACATCCAATTAATATTGTATTCCTCCCTATTTCATTTGGCATAGCTAAATCATTATTTTTAAAGTGTTTTGCCATATTTTTCATGGTATATGTACGTACCTATATAGACATAACTATGTATTTCAGTATTGTGGCCGAGGACTGCCTCCTGACTGGGTTAACGATAGCGACGCTGCATGGTGATACAGTGAATTTGGGACATGATTCTTTCAAACTTAGGGATTGCAGGTTTTCCGTAGAGGTAAATACCTATATCTGTTACAGTTAAAACTCATAATCGGTCAAAACTACTTTTGACTACAAAAATAAGACAAAAGTGGTACTATGGTAACCTACTTTTAACTGACGAGTACCTACCTAGATTTCGAAAAATATTACAAATAAGAAAAAGGCAGTATCGGTTTATTAAATTCGAATTACATCACATAATACAAACACAAAATTATCTATTTAGAGAACATACCTAATAGTAGAATATGAGTATTTTAGGTTTAACTAGATATTATTCCATTGTTTTATTATGTATAAAAACAAATTTATTCATAGCGTGAATCTTTACTAGCTTCAAATTATGCAAAGTAATTAAACAATTCAATTCCATTTTAGATAACTACCCCTGGACTGGGGTCGCCGCCAGTAATCGCACCATATTTTTCAGAACAGCAAGGTACATACATTGCTTTTATGTAAAATATAAACCGTTCGGAAACCTTTACAGTTTTCAGAAAAGAAAAGAAAATGCACCCTAAAGGTATTAACACAAAATGTATACAGGGTTTAATTTTAGTTATTAGCTATGTTCATTTACTCAATGAAATGAAGGCGGTCAAGCTGTGGATCCGGCTACACAGGACTTGCAGCGGTGGGAAAGAGAGATGGGAATAGTCTCGCTTACCTACTCAATAAAATTACTATTTTCGCCTTTTGCCTTATGGCGAATGTAGATTTCGCTGTAAGGGTAAAAGATAATAAATAAATAAATAAACATTTATATTCACCCAAAAAATAAAAATAAAAATAAAAAACAAACACCTAAGGGGGTAACACACGAGGGTATCCGGCTCAGCGTAAGGTCCATGCAGCGCTGGTTTTCAGCCCGGCTTCTGAAAAATACCGCAACTCTTCACAAATGGGTATCATCATCATCATCTCAGTCATAGGACGTCCACTGCTGAACATAGGTCTCCCTCAATCCTTTCCATGTTGCCCGGTTGGTAGTGGCCTGCGTCCAGCGCCTTCGTGCTACCTTTATGATTTCGTCGGTCCACCTTGTGGGTGGACGTCCCACGCCGCGTGGGAATGGGTATCAAGTAGAAAATAATAAAGTGTAGGTTTAACAGTGTTTCATTTTTAAGGGAGGGGTTTGTTCGTTTCAGCTGAAAAAAGTCCACTGCTGGACAAATGCCTCCCCCAAGGATTTCCACAAAGACCGGTCCTGCGCCGCTCGCATCCAGGCACCTCCCGTGACCTTCACCAGATCGTCAGTTTGTCAAAAGTAAATTTTATTTAAAGGCATGGAGCTGGAATTGCTTTTGATACGGCCGATACGAGGAGAATTGATGCCAAAACTGCAAGGGGCTGTATATACTTACGTAAACACTTCGGCCATGTTTGGAGAGCTCTTACCTAAGATTCGGTACGATATGAATGAAGGACTGATGTTATTATTTTACTTCTAACCCAGGGTTACTACTACTGTACTTTCAGCTTCTTTGTTTAACCTAGTTTTAGATGCTAGCTAACATTCTTTTTCTAACTGATTTGTGTTCAGTGTCAGTAATAAAGTTACCTCTGTAAATATGACAAAGAATGCAAAGTAACATTGTGTACCTATAGGTTGTAGGTACATCTAAATGGTAGGTACTATATACAACCGACAGTAGTCTATGTTAGCAAATGCATATAAATAGTATAGTGAAGTCAGAAGTCAGATATCATCATATTTGAAAAAAAAAATCACACAGATCTGATTTTAAAAACATTGCTTTCTGACTTCACCATACTCTCTAGTACTAAGCATATGTTAACATAGGCTAATGTCGGCTTTATAATATACCATTTACCTTCTAACACCCTGTACAAAGCCAGAACATTCTCATATTATATTTTTTCAGTGAATATGTTAGCAATATAACTTATTATTATTTCTCAGTAACGGACAAAATAAATTGTTCAAGACGGTCGGGCAGTTTATGACTTACGTAACAAGATACGTAAACCAGATGACGGTCACTAAAGATGGTGGAATTGTAAAATGGGAGGACGTCACTATTAGTTGGAACGATAAGGTATTTGTGTCTCTATCGAATAGCTTAATTTTTTGTATTCTTAATAATTGCCTATGGTAACATTAAGCCCTAAATGTTTTTGCATAAATTTATTTGGCCGAAATGTCTTTAGCTCCTTTAAATTACGTGTAAGTTTTTTTCGCCGAAACTTAATTTCCCAAATGCGACATTAGGCGGAATGTTTTTATAATGTCTAATGTTTACAGTTACTAAATTGTAATTCGCACAAACTTATAAAACATGATCCACGCGTACGAAGTCGCGGGCGGCCGCTAGTTATTTATAACGTAATTAATGATTACGCTACTCATCACGAAATCTCAGAAACTATAGACACCTATAGGTCGACGTCCTACCTCTGGTCGCCGGTAAACGTCGAAGAAGCGGGTGGAAAGCTTAGTAAATAGCTTTTTGTCTCCAGGCCCCAGGGTCCCAGCAGCGTTTCCACGCCGAAAGGTACAAAGCGGTAGCAGCTGTCTAAAGCGGAATAAATGTTTAATAGCAGAGATCCTAATATTATGGCCTTCAATACTTCAGTGTAATACATATAATCATAGTGCCGAAAGACCGCGATTAAAACTTATAAGTCTAAAGGCGTTCGGAGGAAATTTAATATTAGGGATTCTAAAATTTAGGCATAGCTTTTTTCGGCGAAAGTATAATAGTGCCAAAACCACTGTTAGGCTAAACAATAATTGTGCGTCAAAAGTTTCGGCCAATGCGGTTTTTTATCTACAACGACGAAGCTCTTGGCCTGTATCTCACCTGATGGTAAGTGTTGATCAGGCCGAAGGTGGAAGCGAGCTTCACCCGGAATCCTCAACCACGGAGGAACTGGTTATCTTACCTCTAACTGCCGGAACACAACAATGCTGTTAACATTGTTGTTATGGCGACAGACTTAGGTAAGATGGTGGTAGCTAGTCAGGCGGCGAATGGATGAAAGTTTATTTCATATCTATTTTAATTCTTTTTGCGTTCTTTTAGCATGAGGGGCAGCTCCAAGAACACAAAGTAGTTCTAAGGGATATGGTGGTCAGTGGTTTGGACTCCGCATACTCGGCTCAGAAGGGAGGCCCGTATATCAAGTCTTTTGTGAAAATAGACGACACTGTCAGGTTTAGTGCTTTACAGGTAAACATAACGACTTAAGATGCTTAAAGATAGAAAACCCCTTTAGCTAAATGCATTAAGGTACGAACCTAACGTTCTTTTTTTTTAATTAGTGGCAACTAAACCTCTTTGAGAGGTTCATTTCTGCCAATGTCGAGTGAAAAATTGAAAGAAAGAAAGAAAGAAAAAATATTTATTTGGTACCAAAGAAATGTAAATACCAACTCAGAATAATACTATACAGGGTGACTTTGCAAAGAGTTGCCAATCTTTCGTCCTGGAAGAGGAATTGTCCTGGCCGCCCATGTGCTCGAGCGCGTGGTATTACGAAGCATCTGAAAAAAGCCCTTGCGACTCCCATCTGTAAGGCCCAGAACAGACGGTAAAACGCAACTGCAACGAAACTGCAACTGCTAGTTACTTTTGAGTTGCATCTAAGTTTCTGCCAAAGCGTCCGTTGAGAGACCACACATGACGCGACCAGTTTGAAACTTTCAGTCTCATTCATCAGAATCATCACAAAGTTGCAGTTTCGTTGCAGTTGCGTTTCACCGTCTGTTCTGGGCCTAACAACCAGGACCTCAAGGTACGTGCAATCCTTCCTTCTTCCACCGGGATGTTTCCTATGGTCGTTTCTCCCACCCAGCCCGACATTTTCCAGCATTTTGTACGAGGTGTACCGATCGCTATTTTCGCCATCACTTCTTTGTAAACTCCATCTCCGCAGACTACCTCGCGTTAGTACTTAGTTATTTTATTGGAAACCCTGCAAAAATATTTTTAAGTTAGATACAGTCCACTTGTTCCTTTTGCCTCAATTATGATTACGCTCAACCAAATTGGATACTGTTTGTAAAGTCACCCTGGCGATCACAATAGATTTAAATCTTGACAAAAATAAAACAATCCATTGAACAAAAGTAACGGTTTTTTTTTAAATTCAGTTTTGACATATTTGTTATTTTACAGATACGGGGAGTTCTCTCTTTCAGCATAGGCTCAGCTCAAAGCGAGTACGTATTCTATGGCGAAGTCCAAGATATCGCGTCCTATGTGTCCATTGGGGTGGCTTTAAGGTCTAAACAAACGAAAGATAAAAATATCGAGCTTAAGCCTTTCAAATCTTTAGCTAGTTTCGAAGTGACGGGCTGGAGGTAAGATAACCCCATTATGATTATCAGCTAGTTGAATAAGAATAAAATATCATAATATTAATCTAGCATATCATCACCTCGTTTATATTTCTACAGCTTATTTATTAAGTAATAATAAGTCAAACGAAAACTGAAATATTCTTTCAGAAACTTGGACTTACACGCTCCTGTAGTGCCAAAAATATCTCCACGTGCATTGATATCGGGTGTGATTCTAAAAGAATTGCCGCACCTGATAATACAGCGTCTATCCCGGGTGTTCAGTGAAGCTGTTTCCGATGCTGATAAGAAAATTAAGACGAATACTTGTTTTCTTGCTCTTTGCATCGGTTAGTTGTGCGGTTGCGCCTTGTAGAATCAAACAAGTAGGCCAACTCAAGCCCCGAGCGAGCGATGATATTTGATTCTACTATGGTTGCGCCCGCGCTTTAGTAATAAACGTTAGTGCGTTGACAACCGAGATTTGTTTCACTCGTGTCCTTTCTCGCCTCTCATACTTAGATTTTTAAAAGTTCGTGAGGTCAAGCTGAGCTTTGCATTTGTGTAAGTGCACATGGATACTGTAGGTGTGATAGTTTACCGTGCCTATACTAGGCGGAGGTAGCAATTTATACAGATTCCTTTCCCGAAGACTCAAAATGATATTCGAATGTAAAGTAGGTATAGCTATTTTTGTCTTAACTTTCATGTTAAGTAGTTCTCCTATAACTATCTACAATAATTCTACATGATAAATTCACGGTTATTATTGTTTACGTTGAAACACATGCTTTATTCAGCCCTCATAAGAGCCATTACACAAAAATATACCGCGCGAATTTAGGTAAGAACTGTCAACGCAACGTCAAGAGTAAAAATTGGCCAAGTGCGTGTCGTGCCACGCGCAGTGTAGGGTTCCGTAGTTGTGGTAAAATGGTCTTAGAAACCCCTAAGCTATTGTAATAAAGACCTATCCAACGATACCACACACGATGGGATAGAAGATGAAAAAAAATCATCCCCTCTTTACATGTAGGGGAGCTACCCTAAATACACTTCTGGACACATCTATTGCCCCACCTTTTATTTTCAGTTTCGTTTGGACCTAGCTACAATTTTATATTAGGACGAGCAAAAAGTTTTTATGCAGTTTTGAACCTGGCACATTCACATTTTCATTCAATAGTCTTTTTTTGAATTTCGAACACAGAATTTAAAGAAACAAAAGACAATTTGGAGCCTGTTTGTTGATATCAAACAATCGAATACTAAGAAAACTTGGTTTTATTGGTTTACTTGGATTTAATTCTTGAAAAAGTGATTGATATCTTTTTTTTTTCATTACTTTTTATTTGATGTAAAGTGTGCAGCCATCATTGAACCGTGTTGGACAACTATTGCAAATTGCATTGTAAAGCACAGATATCCGTAACCGTCACCGCAACTTTCGGATATCCGAAATAAAAAAATATCCGTACCTAACCGTAACCGAAACCGGTATAATAATATTCCTATATCCGTAACCGTATCCATAACCGAAACTACATATCCATAACATCCCTATTTCATACTAGCTAAAAAGTAGAGATGAAACGGATATCCGGTAACTATCCGGTAGGCCGGATATCCGGCCTAAATTTACTATCCGGCCGGATACCGGATAGTAACTCACTATCCGGCCGGATACCGGATATTAAAAAACTACGACAATTTTCTATTAATAAAGTGAAATAAATTAATCTTTGAGGTAAATATAAATAAAATGGCTTATAATAATGGCGGCTTTTATTTAAAGTCCAAAAAGTTACAAAAAAGCCATATTAAGACCTTTCAAAAAATTAATTTCTTTTTCTGGACTATTCACTCTAATGACGAATACATAAATGGTAAATATCTGTTAATGACGAAATATTGCCAAATAAAAAAGCGATCTTTTTTCACTGATGGTCTGATGACATGATGCATGCACGCAGTTCAGTCAGATTACGCAACAAGTAAACTAATTTAATTTTCGCTATTCAATCACACACTCACGATAGCAACCGAAATCGCCCGAATTGATCTGCCCCCTAGACAAGTGGCAAAATCTGACATTCTATTCGACCGGATTCGATTTTCGAAAAGTGTGACTAGTCTAGTCTACTAATATACCCACTGATTGTGTTCGAAGCACCTGTGCGGCGCTAAACTCGTCACGACATGCAACGAAACAATGGGCCAACTATCCGGCCGCCGGATATCCGGCTATCCGGCCTAGCAGCTGGCCGGATATCCGGTATCCGGTATCCGGCCAAACAACTATCCGTTTCATCTCTACTAAAAAGCTAAAGAGCTAGCTAAAAAGAAGTCTTTTTAGCTAGCTCTTTACTTCTTCTAAAGAACTTTTTACTTCTCTAGACTTCTTCTGCGAAGAAGTGGATAATGGTTCTAATAGAATTAAATTATTTTAAGAAAAATAATTTTGTTATACGATTATATTTTTTAATATAAAACCTACAAATTATTATGTTTAAATTTTAATATTTGAATACTTACAAAATTATGATATCTTTCTAAAACATAATTGAAACACTACACCTTCCGCAGATTTCTTTGTATACATAAAATATAATTATGTTACGGTTAAAGTGATAAATGTGAAAATTATGAAAAACAATGTTTTTTTGTTTTTCCTTCGGGTGCTAAAATCACCAGGCTATTGTGTGTGCATACTCCTAGATCAGTGTTTTTCAACATTTTTCATGACACGACCCCCCTAGTATGAAAAAATATTTGGCGACCCCCCGAGCGTTCGCTTTTTTTTCATGCATTTCATTATTCATTTATAATGTTACCTACAAAGATGTTTGTAAGGACCGAATACTCTTCAATTCTGAAATTTATTTGAATAATGGACTACAAGAATATAATGTCCGATGATTATGATACATTTTTAAGCTTATTATACGAGCATAAATAATAATAGCTTTGAAATTGAGTCTGCGGCAATTTTTCCGTAAAATGGTTGTGGGAGGTGGGGCACTGAGAATTAAGCAAAAGAGTTTTAGTAAATCCGTTACAATAATGGTCAACAACAAGGATTGACCTATCTTTCGCAGTTATTAAATAATCTCTGGGTGTTGCTTAAGATTATAAATTCGCACGAAAATGTAAAATGGCTCTTAAGCTAGTTACGAAATGGAGTAGCATGAAACAAAAACTGTTTTTGTTTGTATTTTGAATCTTTTGGGAGAGCCTAGCCAAATATGGCGGTAACTTAATGGCAACCTAAGCTAACGTTGACTCGGTACACATTGATAGTTCTGTTTGAGTAGGACCACGATATTCATAACGCGTTGGATTTTGTACTGTCACAAATTCGGAATATTGGCAAGTTCGCGCGTAAGATACAAAGCCTGTGCAGTGACTAGAATACTGACCGGCCACTGCAAACTAAACAAACATAAATCGAACATGAACATGACCGAGGAAACTCTGTGCAGATTCTGCCATACAGAAGAAGAAACGGCCATGCATGTTCTTTGCTCATGCTTCCCGCTTATGAGCAAAAGAAGTATCCATCTCGGGCGACACATCATGCACCCGGATGAGATAGCAGATATCACGCTCCAAAGAATCTGGAAATTTATAGACTCAACGGGACTAAGCAGTGAACTTTAAAGACAAGGGCTGCCACAATAGATCAAACCTGGTCGAGTTGGCGCAAATAAAGGCCCAAAAACCAATAATAATAATAATAAGTTAGCGCCCGTTTAACACTAAGGCTGAGTGTAACTTTGACCGTAACAATAACCGGTGGTTTTTGTATGGAGTTTGACAGATTTTTGACGTCTGCCAAAGTTTAAGGTGGTGTAAGTCGGCCTTAATTGTAGGCAGTCGATTTTCGAAAGGTGATCGGAGAACTGCGTTGCCTTTGTTTCTGATTTAGTCAACTTTGCAATTATTTACTGAATTTATTGCTTTCTTTGTATTTAGAGGTTAACTGAAATGGTATGTTATCCATATTATTTTATGCGTTTATTTTATTTTGTTAGTTGTAAATACAGCCTTATCGAGCTAACTGCGCACCTCGCTGGAATGCGACTCCCTCCCATCTTTTTTTTCTCCCTCCCACCTACCCGCACACCGTCACACCTCCCCGTGTTCGGCCCGTCTGTACCAGAGCGATGAAGTGAGATGTGACGTCACAGGTGCGCATTTATCACTATCGGGTTGTATGGCAGATAAATTATTATTTTTTCTCGATTATTTTGCATTTAGTATTATTATTTTGTAAAAATTACAGATGTGGTTAATATTAATTATGACACTATTAAAAATTCTGAATTGCCGATTATGCATAAAGACCAGCTGCCTTCAGATTTCGTTTACTGCCCTGTTGATGATTTGCCACCGCAGAATGTACACGGTGACAACCAAACTAAAATAGAATTTAGATTATACCTAAAGTAAGTTTTATTTTACATGGTTAATTTCAGTGCCTATTGTGATTATTATTTGTTTAACTTGTTACCCGAATATTTCTTTTAGGGGCAATAAGGACCATTATATACTTTTAGACGAAAATGCTATGGCAGTACATAAGCACCAAAAGGTTTATAGTATAAAAAATACTCCGCTAAAAATCATTACGCACGGCTGGAAGTCTTCTGTCGAAGATAGGTCTGTGGTCCTCATCAAAGATGCGTACTTGGAGACCGACAACGTGAATGTCATATCGTTCGATTGGAGTTCTATTGCTGACACGTATTATTGTGTAGCAGCATTCTTGGCGAATTTTGTCGCGGAAATTATGGCGCTGTTTTTGGAAGCTCTGCATCTGAAACATGGTGTTCGTGGGAAGGACATGCATTTGATTGGACATAGCTTAGGGGCGCATGTGGTTGGGATGGCAGCTTCGCAGACCAGCTTTGCGATCAGTCGTGTGACAGGTAACAAGTAAATTGTAAGCAGTAGAGTTACTTAAGGCTGAGTTGCACCAACCTACTTTAACAATAACCGGTGTTTTTTTTTGTACGGAGTTTGACAGATTTGCAACTCAGCTTAGATTTCGTTGACATGACGCGACCAGTTTGAAACCGGTTTGAAATGGTCGCGTCATGTGTGGTCTCTCAACGGAATCTATGGCAGAAACTTAGATGCAACTCAAAAGTAACTAGCAGTTGCAGTTTCGTTGCAATTGCGTTTCACCGTGTGTTCTGGGCCTAAATGTACTAAATGCATATTGCACAGCCCCAGTTTATCTTAGGGAAACTCAATTTGACGCACAGTTCTGCTCAAGCGTGCTACATACTCGGTCACAGTGTGATAACTTGATAATCAGTGCTGCAGTGGTTAAAAATCTGTGAGTTGTGTCAGAACTTACCTACCTATATCTATATCAAAATTTGTGCTCACCACTGCTTTATGCTATTTTAGTATCGCATACATTGGTACTAAATTATAAATTAAGTACTTATATTTGTATGGATAAGTAATTGGAAGTGCTAGACCACGGGTGGAAGCAAGTCTACTTTACCATCCCCTACTAAACCACATTAACTGGCACACAGTTAACGTGGTTTAGTGAAATTCAATTAATGCAAGCTAATTTCATAAATTCAGTAATTTGGTTAAATTAATACTTTTAGGGTGGATTCGACCAAACAAGAGTAAATATTGATCTCTCAATAAATCGTCAGTTATTCAACATTTTGAATTTCCCATACTGAAACTGGCTTTGAAAGTTATACCAGGAGTTATTCTCGGATAAAAGTTTGGTCGAATCGGGCCTTAGGTACTGACACATTTTTCCGTGGTCTCTAACTGTTTGATACATAATGTTTTTATGGCTACAAAGTACCAACCCTCTGCCTACTATTTGGCATCCCTTTTACGACCTACCAGCACCGCGGCACCGTGGGCACAATTTAAGGTTCGGTCAAACCAACGCCATCACACGCGATCAGCCGCGGCATGCAGCGATGGCGACCAGACTTAATTGCACTGATCGCCGGCTGATCGCGTGTGATCGCGTTGGTTTGGCCGAACCATTAAACCTTTTCAATTATGTAGCAGAAAAAGAGATAAAAATGTACCGACTAGTTCAAGTAAATGTGTACCTAATTCCCAGGTCTTGATCCCGCCGCTCCCTTATTCGAGTGGCCGTTCCTCTTGCCTCCGTCCCTGAGGATTGACTCTTCAAGTGCTGACTTTGTGGACATTATCCACTCTTGTGGGGAGCTTATGGGGTTCGCAGGCCCCTTGGGACACGAGGACTTTTTCCCCAACAGCGGAATGTTCCCGCAGCCTGGGTGTGAAGATGAAGACTTCTATACCTCTGGTAAGATATACAATAACAAAAAAAACCGACTCCAAAAAACATGCACTAAAAAGTAGAAAAATAATTTCTAATTACTTATTTATTAGGAGGTCCCACAAGGTGGACCGACAACCTTATAAAGGTAGCGGGAAGGCGCTGGATGCAGGCCGCCACCAACCGGCCATTGTAGAAATCATTGGGGGAGGCCTATGTTCCGCAGTGGACGTCCTACGGCTGAAATAATGATGATGGAAGATAAGTTTCTCTCAGCATCAGCCCATAATTATGTTGTCCCGAAGAGGTGGAAGGCAAGCTATATTTGGGACGTTTACAAGTGCCCCGGAAAGGGCCTTAAGTTCTGAATAAATCATATGAATTAGACATGGAGCCTTTATTGTTTTTGGGTTTGTAAGCTCACTCTGTCTTTTTTTCAGCATCTTGCAGCCATGCCAGGGCATATGAGTACTTCACCGATACAATATACGATGGCACAGTTTACCCCTCGTGGAACTGCGAATCATGGGAAGCATTCTTGGATGGGAAGTGCACTAATATAAATTATATGGGAGAAAGAGCTGTCCACGCTTTAACGGGGAATTATTACTTATTTATCAGCTACACATCTAAATAATTTTGGCTCAATTCGCTGGTAACAAACACTCGATCAAGGCTATTTGTATAATGTGGTAAAAAGCACGACCAAATTAGGGGTTGGTTATTATGGTTGGTAGCTATTAAGATAGATTAAAGGATATTTGTATATTTGTTAAAAAATAAAATATTTTTTATGTCGTTTTGTGTGAACTCGAACAAAAACGTGAACAATTTGTTCAGTAAAATGATAGTGAGAATAAAAATAACTATTGTGTAAAATTTGCTTTATTATGTTAGGAGTAACAAAGACTATTGGCCGTCCTAAACAAACTAAGTTAATTATTTACTTTTTATATATTTTACTTAAACATGATAGATATTGATAACAATAATTTTAATAATATACATAAGTATAATGTAAATAAAGCAGGTAGGTACTTATCACTTTTCATTGGATCTTTAACTGTAGTTTTTTGCTTGAATGATCTTGAGTTATTTTTTTCATAATTATATGATAATCATAACTACCCAGTAATGGGGATCTCAGAGGGCATAATAGTTTGTAGATTGTACTTTAAATCTATTGTAAAACATGATTGAAAATAGTCAAAAGTAAATATGTAATTAGGGAATTAGCAATTTATTTTGAAACTCAATTTTAAAAAAAATATGAAAAAAGAAAAAAACAGTAGGTAAATAAACGCAAGAAGGATGTCATCATACCTATAAATTATTATTTCACTAACTCATATAAGAACTATTAAAATACCACTGAATAATGGAACGGTAGTAACTTAGATATGGGAGTTAGAAACCGATCGCCTGCACATCTTTGGTGGAAAAGCAGCCTAAGTATTAAAAAGTAAACTCGTTCGAAATTTAAACGTTCACCCTGGCTTGTAAACGATCCTGTCTTCATCCACGTCCTCTGAATAGTCTTGGAAGATCGGAGTGGTGGTTGGACCCCAATGGCGCATATTCAACCTAGGTTCACTGAAAAGATTGAACTTGTATTAGTATTCTCAGTGATTCTCACTATTATATTAAGCCTAGGCGCAGGTCACCGATTATTCGTCGGCTGATAGTTTAGTCGGGCAGTTAAAATCAGTATATTGGGCATAATATAAGGAAGTGCGCACATTACAACGATTTGGTATCGACCTCAGATTCCCTTTCTATGATCTGAGGTATCGACCGATTCTTCTTACAAATTATAGAATAGAATAGAATAGAATAGAATACCTTTATTCAGCATTAACATTTATATGCATACATGTAAAGAGGTTAAATTACTGAGCCATGCTGAAAAGGCGCCCGCTCAGCGAAAATCGTGTCATGACACAAGTCGTCAAGTCACGAAGCTGGTTTTCAGCGGGTACCAACATGGGGGTTACCATAGAGAAAAGTAATACATGTTAAACCATTCTACGCCAGTTATGCGCCCTTTTGACAGTGACGGTTCATCGATATCAAAATCGGGCCCAACTATCGGCCAACTAAAAGTTGATGGTCTGCGCCTAAGCTAAGTCTGACTGTTGTCCTGTTTTTTACTGTATTTATTATTAAGGATATAATCGTGTCTGAAATAAATTATTTAATCGATATTGTACTTAATTTGAATACCTGATACATTAATAATGATGAAATGTTAGTGATAGAAAAATGCACCTCCGGATGCTTTACTTTATACACTAGAGTTGCCACGAATAGTGATTTGGCCGAATACCGAATATTCGGCAACGCTGTCGGCCGAAGCGCCGAATATTCGGCGGCCGAATATTCGGCACAAAGTACATGCTAGTCGAGTGCGTAAATAATAATACGACAGGTTGCGACCTGTCTGTCGTGTCCTCTTGAAATACACGACAGTTTCTGGAACTGCTTTGAGGAAGTCGCTAAAGATAATTATGCGAAATAGTAATGATGAGGATAACGTGGAGAAGAATACTGTGGCAAATTAGATGGATTTTTATTTGAAATCAAATCGACTACATCGGAAAGCTGATCCTTACAAGTGGTGGTCAGCTAATGAAAAACAATACCCAAACCTCTCGAAATTTGCTAAAGTTTATCTTTCTTCTCCCGGGAGTAGCGTGTATAGTGAGAGGTTGTTTTCTGAAGCTGGTATCATTTATGATGAAAAGCGTAATCGTTTGCTACCGTCAAATGCTGAAAAGCTTGTTTTTATCCATCACAACTTACCGCTGATTAATTTTACTTATTAAAGTATTGTAATTTGATAATAAAGACAAATCTTGATTAATATGATGTGTCTTTTTTTTTCCATGATTTGGTATTCGGTATTCGGCCGAATAGTACCTATTATTCGGCCGAATACCGAATACCAAACAAAGTGGCCGAATAGGCCGAATACCGAATAGTAGCCGAATATTCGTGGCATGTCTATTATACACACAGAAACTAAAGGGAGATGTGAAAAGGGGGCGGGGTCAGTGTTGAAGCAATATGACCAAAAACAGAATACTGCTCGTGTCAGCAATGATGACAGCAGCTACATCATAATTATGTGTAAACAGTTTACATTGCTTGCGTAGTACTAAAGATTATTCGAACATTAGGTACCGATACCGCAGTGGTTAATGAGCATATTCAAAGTAATACATTCAATCGCATGTCACTGCGTACCTATGTAGTGGTGCTGTACGTAGGTAAATTACTTGCAACTTGGTATGCGAACGAATAGTAGCACTGAATGCAATGTGTGCATGACACACACTCTTCGCGACATATTTTTTTTATTATTATTACTTTGTGTGTGTGAATTTCTATTGTTTGCATTAGTTGGCATCTCTCTAGATCTCTATCATCTCTATGCTTTATACATTTACCATGGTGTCTTACAACTAACGGGTTGTATGAAAATGTGAACAAAACAAAAATAATTCCTACCTTCTTGTGGGTTCATACTCATCACGTAACCGCAAGTCGGGTGTAATAATTGGTCTTATTCTGTGGACTTTCTGTTTTCTGGGCAAGTTCTTATTTTCTTTATTTTCTTTCTCCTCTCTATTGTGATATATTCTCGTTTCCTCCTGTTCATCTTTTTCGATATAATCAGAATGGTATGCCTTATACGAGTCAGAATCCATATCCTTCATGGTGGATATTTGGAAGTTCCTCATGATGATCTTGGCGTCACCACTCTTCCAGATGGCAGTGGAGATGGCAACGTTCGGTGTTATGGATATGAGTTTGGTGATGAGGCGGGATGGTGATGCGGTCAGTTTGTAGTAATCTCGCGGAGATGGCTGTGTCTGAAAAAAAAATCAGACACGGACAGATGATAAATAAATAAATTATTAATATCTTTGGACAATTTCACACAGAGCCAGCCAGCCCTAAAGTAAGCAGCTATTATAAGCTTGTGTTATGGGTGCTAGCCTAACGGATATTATACTACGAGTAGGGTGGGTGCACCAGTCCCACACCAGGAACAAGTAGTACACCATTTCTAATTTCACATCAAAATATTAACAATCTGTCGAATTTCCCGCCACTTTTGTTACGTTTGGTAGCACTGCCGTACTTCTACCAATCATTAGTCATAAATAAAAGCGACAAACACGACTTGGTACGATCTGGTCAACCTTAGGCACATTGCGACTTTCCACATCGATTGTTCAATAAAAATAAACCTTACAGCTATTAAGAAAATTGGGATAAGCTACTTGATTCTATGATAGACAAGGAGTAGTTAATTCTTTTTTTTGCAATGATTGTTGTAATAATTGAGTCACAATATCAAAATTACTTTTAAAATGTCGCTTATTCGGTTTGTTATTGGTACACCCACCCTACTTATAAATATAAATTTTCGGAAAAAGGAGTAAAAAGACCGTCACCTAGGGAGTAGATTTTTTTGATTTTTTTTAATGCCTATTATTTTGAAAATATGCCACAGATTTTTTTTATATTTTTCTGATAACCAGCACAACTTGCCTCAACACCCAGTTCCGGTTTTACGTTGACATTTACGGGACACCCTGTATATGTATGTATTTACAAAAAAAAAGTATTTAAGTATGTTTATATCCGTTGACTAGTACCCATAGTACAAGCTTTGCTTAGTTTGGGACTAGAAGCGCAGTGTAAAATGTCCAATGATAATTATTTATTTATTTAAAGAAAGTTAGTAGTAGCTTACTTCAGTAGAAACATCAGCCTGCACACCGCTATCTTCAAATATGACTCTCCTCGCCTCAGTGGTATACTTGTACAGCTTATCAGCGAACTGGTGCACGCCCCTGATGCCGCCCCAGGAGGCTGGCAGCGGCTTGGAGTTGTCGGAGTCAGGGACTACCTTGTCCCTTGCAATGTAATCATCATCGCCACCTGCGTGAGCTGGAAAAGCTGTAAGAATTTTTTGCTTTTATATCGATGTGGGTGTAAATATAGATGTTTCTGTTTTATTGGTTTCCCTTAAAATGTCTTGGCAAAAAGTGAAGGAAGAGAGTTTTATTTTGGTTTAAGGCAAGAACTTGCCAGAAATATTGATTTATTTATTTTTATTTATTTTCTTTATTCGGAAACCATACCTACTGCTTACAGTTAACATAAACAGAATGAGTCCTACATAAGCCTACAAGATTTCACTACTAATTGCGCCAGGAAAAAAATCTGGTATAAAATATGGCCAAAAGCGAAGAACAGCTACCTATACTAAATTAAACGCAACAACTGTCTAATCTAACGGATGACAATCATCTGATTATGAAAGAAAGAAAGAAAGAAAAATGATTATTTGGTCCAAAACAATTGAACCTACCTTCTTCTTCATCACCTGTTCTTCTAGAGATATACCTTGGTTTCACGTCTGGCCTGTCGTAGAATTGACCTCGTCTCATGTAGACTGTCACGTCGGATCCTGAGAACAAAAGCACCATTTAAATAGTGTAAGTACAATATTTGATATTTTAACAGACGTCACAGACACAATACAATGTGTGTTGGACTGATTACCTACATGAAAATGTTCGTATTCATCCGAATAATATTTGATAACGCAAGCCTAGTAATTTGTTAGGGAACGCGAAATATTTATAATAAATGTATGTAGGTAATCCCTATTTTCGGAAGGATCGTTATTTACGACATAGAATGCAAACAATAGCTAACTTATATCTTAGGTGTGTGCTTTACGATTTTATTGTATTTTGAATATTTTACCACTAAGGAGGCATTCGCAAGTATTATTAAATAAAGGAAATGTCAGAATATCATGCAATTTCTGTTTCTTTGAATCAAAGATAGTTGCCCATTTATTTTATAACTTTATTATTACATACACATAGCCAATAATGGGATATTTTTGTCCTATTTTATGTAAATTTGCTCAACAATTCAAGTTCATAAGCAAATGATTCATTAAACAAAATAATCAATCGAATCCTTTATTTTAAATATAGTCTAGTCCTTTTGTTTTGTCAAAATGTTGGTTGGTGTCAGGCAGGCAGCTCGCTTGGTTTCTTTGCATTGCTCCGAACTCTTGATGCCTTCATGAAAGGGCAAAAACCATGACAAAAGTGACTCATGCGCTCATTAAATCTCAGTTTCTAGGCTGTAGTAAAACTTTAAGTACTAACTGGTGAACGTAAGGAACTCGGCCATCTGGTAGTTGTATCCGTAAGCGATGCCGGCCACGGCTGCGACCGTCAGTCCGATGCATATGGCTAGGCTCATCCAGCATGCTAGGAAGAAAGTGATAACCCTGCAGAAAGAAGAAAATGTATAGGAATTTGACTCTAATTTATTGGTAAAGGCGACAGCAGATCGAATTATTTTTGCTCCAAATAGGACCTATTAATAATACTCACAAGAAGTACCTTATGTTCAGCTTAATGTGCTACTACATTATGATACTCCAATATTTATTCGTACAAGCAAAAACGTCTACACATTATGAAGAATCTAAACCCTAAGTTCACTAAGAGATGGCGCTCTTTGTGCGTTAAATTGCGGTATTAACAACTGCTATTTTACAAAAGTGCCTAGTATATTTATATAGCTATTTGTAAAACATAAATATAGAAATACGATTATTGTGATACAATGAAAATTTTCCATTAAAAACACTTACCTACCTTGTCACTTGACAATGAATGGGTGAAAAAGTGGAAAAATTATGCTAATGTGAAAACAACTAGGCTTGTAATGTTTAAGACATCGATTAGGAAAACAGTTAAGAGCGTGATTTACAGAAATTCTTACTGCTTTTGTAATAAAGCTGTTAATAAGTTAGTGTATTAGGTACATGCAAATTTATTCTAAGCACATGGAATAATGTATGATACAAGGACAAGGTTTAAGTAGTTTATTTTTGTTATTAGTAAACCAACTGCCTTGTCAATAATTTGGAATAAGTACGTATTTTCTTTTCCTACTACTAATATTAGCTACTATTTTTAACTGATATTTAATTCTCTGATACCTACTTGTTTACTTATTATTCTTGCAGGGGCAAAAAAACTACTGAGATTACCATTTATCAGAGTACGAGTGTGGTACGACGAGTACGACGACGATGTTCAGTTATTTTTGAATAAACAGAATTTAATGTAGGCGGGTCAAATTTTTATCTGTCAGACAATATTGCATTGTATTTAACAAGGTTATTAGTTGCTAAATATTATCTAGTGTAATCGGGAAATTAATTTAAAACGCCTCTGACGTGGAATCGCCACAAATTGCCGGCATGTTTGCCGCCTCGCATCCGATGACGCCCAATTTTCGCAAATTAATGAGATTCTCATAGATAATGTACACGCGTACAAACCAAAACGGTTCTTAATAAGCCAGGTAGTCTTCGGTACGTATTAAATTAATTATAATTATGTTAACAAAGGTTACGTGATGAAGTTAATATAGAAGCAATCAACGAAAAACGTTTGTAAATTGTTTGACTAAACTTTTGTCGTTTTTATCGGTAGACTTCATTTCTTAAGTAAAATCTAATTACTTATTAGTTGACCCTTTACAGGACATTTAAACTTAATTTAGTCTTAAATCGAACACCTATTTTTGGATTGAAACTTATTAAAATTGCTGTTCCAGTCATGGATGGAGTTTAGTAGACTATATTTAATGTTTTGGAAACCTTTGATATAAGCCCCTTCATACAATAAACCTACACAACTACATTATTTTGTTAATATATTAAAACATTTGTAATTTTTTAAACAAAAATACTAATCTGTGGCTCCTGAAAAATAGCTCCTAAATCGAACCATTAAGCTCTTTTTAGATGATTCATATTTACAAAAAAAATACTTGGAAAAATTCGAAAGTATAACGAAATTAATCTGATGGTATGATGGTATATTTTCAGGTTCCTTTGGAAATATTATAAAGGTGAGATTACGTTATGGATGTTTGGGTAGGAACCACCAATATCAAATATCGTGTTTGCCGTCGAAGGTACGTTTCGGTCAATCGATCAAACTTGGCTTTCAATACTTAATGCGATCTACGTTTCTACGCTATTTTTAAGAACTTTAGGGAAACTTCATTGTTACATATAGAGCATTTCCTTTTTTCAATTATTAAAGTCCTATGATAATGGAGTAGTAAAAATATAGTGTCGATTTTTTTATTGCCAAATAACTTTTATCCAAAGATTAAGTTCGAAGTATGCATAACGTCTCAAAATTATTAATCAGAAGAGTTAACTGGCGATTGAAAATTAGTCTTCAACGTAATTCATGAGCATTGAGCACTGAATATTTTAAGTTCAAAACAGTGATTTCTTTCACAGATTAATAGAACTGATTCTGCATGTCTCCACTTAGGTCTAAGTAACGAATGATTAACAATCAGGTCATAGTGAGATTAACGCTTCGTGTTTTCTCTTTGTCGTTTCTCTAACCTTTATCTACTCTCGAAGGCATCGTGTCTAAGCGTGCTGGACGCATGAAATATTGTAAACATCTCCTAAAATATCTCTGCCTTATCCGGGCTTAGAATGGCCGTATTAAATCCGTCGCAAGCTCTACCAGCTATACGCAGATTACGATTACTTATACGACATTCATACTGTGCTTGTAGCACATTATCGTGTATAAGTAGACGTATTGATTGACACATTATTGTCAGTTAATTGATTTCTATAGTAGTTTTAATCTAGTCTAATTTTTTAACACTTTTGAAGTGCTTTATTCTGGCTTGTTATTGACGCAATAAATTGATTATTTGTGAGTTTTTGTTATTTTTATTTATTTTTTAAATGCGAAAGTAACTCTGTCTGTCTGTCTTGCTTTCACGCCTAAACCACTGAACCGATATTGTTGAAATTTGGCATAGAGATAGTTTGAGTCCCGGGAAAGGACATAGGATAGTTTTTATCCCGGTTTTTGAAACAGGTTTTCTGTGACAGATAAAATTCCACGCGGGCGAAGCCGCGGGCGGAAAGCTAGTATTTAATATTACTATTATCTCACCGCTGTATTAAGTCGAGTAGCCATCCAAAGCAGTTAAATATGTAGCACATAACACACTCGTGGGAGGGAAGAGGATCTCGCCAGGGTGAAATTCATCAGCTCTGCTTGAAGGACCTCCTGAAATAAATAGTGCTTTCATTTATATCGTCTTGAAGATTTACACTGTTTCTTTTGATACGCCATACAAACAACTATACAAATATAAAGCTGAAGAGTAGACCCGGGAATCGAACTGTCTAAAACCTGTTAAAAATGACATCCTGTAGTTTTATTGCATCGATCGTTAGGGTTAATTATAAGGATGAAATCTCTTTAACAAACTGGACAAATGAAATGAAAGGAAAACCACAAAATTTAATTAATCTTTTAATTAATTCTTTACAAAAAATATCTGGTATGGTGGTGAATTTTCGGTTTTCGGAAATCTCTGAATGTAGATAGATCTCTTTCTTTTGAAAAATTAAGTAATGTTTTCTATAAGTAACATTTCCTATCTACAGTATTAAGAGTAGGTGGCAGTACAAAATTCCACCCTGTATAGTAGGTAAGTACCATCTACTCGTAATTTAAAAAACTTTGTTTCAATAATATACCTACATTACTTACTTATAAAAAAAACTGTCCACTGTACCTATACTAGCTGAGACACGTTCCAGGTCAAATGGACGAAATGCAATTGGTCGTAATTGGCAGACTATTGGAGGTCAATCAAATTCGACGGAGTGCAATTGGAAGTCAGAGATAACAAGTCTAGAATAACTTGTCTAGGTAGGTATGTTGCGAGTTTGATAGCAAAGTTTTTAAACGTTCATTTCTTGAGTACTATGATTTATTATCAGAGCAGGGCTTAGTGTGAGTTTAGGTACATCAAACGTCTTCACTAGTGACTGCGTAAAAGAATGACATTAAATGTATGGCGGATTTTACAGCAACCCTAGCGGATACCTTCAAGATCTTCATAGATTTTTTGACGCGCTCACTAGTGATGACGTTTTATTTAAACTCACACTAAGCCCTCTCAGGCACAAAATATCCTCAGGTCAGTTACAGATCTAGCGCATATAACTCAGTAATAGACAGTTTGACACCATACCCCAATAATTCGAAACCCCAACTTTTTTAAAAAGACCCTTAATGCTGGTCTTAAAAACTTAATTAATTTTAAATTGCCTGTAAATTACGATTTTTGTTCGCATTGTAATTGAAAAAAGTAGTTTGATTGAGTTGACAAAATAGTGACGTCACTTGCTTGTGGTGCCATACAAAATCTATGGGAGAGTTTCGTTTTGACAGTTTTAAGATTGGTGGTGTCAACATGTCTATTGCCTGAGGTATGGAAGCGGCGTGTGAGCGTGTTTATTGTTACGTCAATTAATGTCAGCGAGACTTCAGATTTGTATGCTCTGTCACGTCATAATGTGTCAAAATACTGAGTTTTAAGCATGACCCTCCTCTTTTCACCAGAGGCAGTTGCTCACCCCCCCCACGATACATTGACCTATTAGATACTGGGTTAGGGAGACCTATAATTAAAGCAACTTATCTACAAAAAAAGTCTACATATTATGTTAGAAAAGTAACAAAAAATAATAGCCTAATACTTCAACCTGTAGATATCATATTTTCAAGTGGATTTTTTAGTAAAGATGTTAATTAACATTGAATTCGTTAAAAGGCTTTTAACTTTTTATATTCAATTAGGTAGCAAATGTTTTTTAAATAAGGATGATAAAAACCAACCAATAAGTTTTCATGCTCTGTATTCATAGTAAGTATCTTTAAGTTTTGCACAGAATAAATGTTTGGGACTAGATGCGCAGTGTAAAAATGTCGACGGATATTTAGTTACTCTTTATAACTAGCTTTTGCCTTTTTTGAAATTTAGTTTGTCACAGATATAGCCTATAAGTTATTCTGGGTTATAAACAATAAATAGGTACTGTAAAGTTTCATAAAAATCAGTTCACTAGTTTTTGCGTGAAAGAGTAACAAACATCCAGATATCCAGACATCCAAACTTTCGCATTTATAATATTAGTAGGATAGTAGGAAGTAGGATTTCGGCCAAACGCTCCCAATAAACGCATTTATTTGTCGCTATTATCTTAATTGGTACAGATACCTACCTATGTCGTCAGAATACCATCTGCTGCTGCCGGCCGACCGGACCCTTCTTCCGATCTACATTGTTACAGCACAAAATTTGAATAAATCATATTACAAATACGACCCTGGCATAGACCACTGTGCATTATAGACGGCGTTCTGTATTGGTCGGGTTTGAAAAAATATTTTTGTGTTCGATAGCCCATTTATCGAGGAAGGCTTTAGGCTATAAAAGGCAGCCTACAGCCAATAGGGCCGGAGCCGGAGCTGTAAAGAAAAATGTTGCAAAAACGGTTTTTTTTTATTCACAATGAGGAAGCTCTTTGGCTGTATTTCACCTGATGGTAAGTGATGATCAGGCCAAAGGTGGAAGAGGGCTTCACCCGGAATCCTCTACCACGGAGGAACTGACTATCTTACCTCTAACTGTCGGAACACAACAATGCTGTTAACATTGTTGTTATGGCGACAGACTTAGGTAAGATGGTGGTAGCTAGCAAGGCGGACTTAGAAAAAGCCCTACCACCAACCAAACCGAACAGTTCAATCTGTCTCCACTGGGAATCGAACCCGGGACCTCTGCGGGTACTGAAGCAGGTGGTCTTACCACTAGACCACAGAGGCGGTTAAATTATTATTTAAACTATTTGAATGCGTACGAAGACGCGGGCACAGCTAGTTTCAAACATATAGGGTAGCCCCAATTCTTGGCTTGACGTGCTATCGTCTGTACAATAAGTCCAAGCATATTGTGATTCGTCTGTGAGGCTAAGTGATCTGTCCACCGCGCACCTCTCATTTGGTATTCGCCCGACACAGAGCCGAACGTTTCTTTTGTTTATTGTTTTGGGAAGCCTGAATAATAGATGCCGTGGAAATTACTACGTAAACGACTCTGTTACGACATTTGCATCAAGGTGACAACGGGAAAGTTTATGGGAGCGCGCGCACGGTTGACTTTTGTCACCGTGACAGTATGTTTCTCCATATACAGTGGTATAAATAAGTATAATACGTTGTCTCTCTGTTTCTTTTAATAAAAGAGAAAGATATACTTGTCACGGCGACAAAAGTCGGACGCGAACGGGTGCCTGCAAAAAAAGTTTCTGTCACTGTCACGTCGCTACGTGATCACACCTCCATAGATCTGCAAGGACTTGATATAAGTGACGATACAGTCACGGCGAGAAAAGTCACCCGTGCGCGCGAGCCCTTAGTTTGGCGTTTACGTCATGCATAGTTTTCGTTGTTTGGAGCAAATTCGATGGTATTTTATTCATGTGTAGTCTTAAGTGCTTTTAGATTGATTTTATGTCTTCAATTTTGATAGTAAAAAGCGCAGGATATGATAGGACGGAAGTCTTGTCTTCCCGTGAAGCACTTTCAGGATCAATTCTAATCAGTTTTTGGATATCTTGTATAGTTTTTAATAATAAGTGGTTTTACTAAATGTATGGAAGCTGAAAACATTGAATTTTCGGATAGATTTAGTTTATTATGTAACCCATTATTGGTACCGTTGGATAGATCTCGTGAAGCACTTTCAGGATCAGTAACCAGTTTTTCGATATCTTGTGTAGTTTATAAATAATCGAGTGAGATCACTTATCGTTTCCACCCTGTATAACTACGAGTGACGGGGTCTTTTTCAGCACGTGGTGAAGTTGTAACATGCCTTTAGTATTACAGGGTAAGGTAAGCTTTTCAGTAAAATTACACTCGATTAAAATAAAAACGTTCACAATGACCTTATTCTGCAAAAGTTAAAAATAATATTATTAATGGTATTTAGGTTATAATACACCAGAAATAGTTAGTGACAGTAGAAATAGTATCGCAGCGGAATGACGTGGAAAAGCTTTTAACTCAGCCAAGTTTTTATCAAACTTTGCAGTAACAAAGGTATGCTTTCTAAGTTTGTTTCTATGTTATGTTTCAATTTCTATGTTGACAGAACTCTTAAATTAATATTGATTATCATTGTTCAAACTACAAACACCGACGTCTGGTGTATCAATCAATCCACAAACATTAAGGTCTGATGTATAGGCAATTAAACTTTTTCTGCTAATTTATGAAAATCAGTAGGTATTTATTTTATGCTTCTGGTACTCTAAACCCTTTATTAATGAAAGTTACACTAGTTGAACTCTGGCTTAAATTGTCATTTAGTGTGGAAATGTCATTTTAATCCAGACTTCATCCTAGGGGTTACTTTTTTTTATTATGTATGTAATAAATAAAAAATATATTTAATTTGGACTGAGATATTAATGAGAGAGAGATACTGACACTGAGAGATCTGATCTTGGCACTTACGAATAAAAGAACTACTATATGTATACAGAGCGACTTGTAATACCGTCCCCGATCGCGACCGCTTTCCCACGCTTCCCACCTCTGTGTTCGTTGACCTTAAGCCTCTTCTTATTTTGGAAAAGTACCTACTTTAATTTAACCTTATTCATATAACATGCTTTTTTCAACGGGGTTACGAGTATGCAAATCATATTACTTATATGCATAAACTTGGACTCGAACCCATCCCATTAAAAGTTAAGCCGGACGAATTTGCTGAAAATTTGCCGCAGGATGCGAATAGGTTAACTTTTAATATTATAATGAGTTTCCAACTTTTAATCACTTCTAACACTACTATACTACCTACCTTTTAATGTATTTCTTGTGTGTTTTTATAGTGTAACAAAAAAGTAGCATCATTTTCTTGCCTATTGTATTTATTATATGGGCGTGTAAAGGCTTTTAAAGGGGAACACTACTAGTAATAAACTATTATTATGGTGCAATGTTATGCAAAACAGTCTGAGCCTTACAAGAATTACAAACCACCGTGATAAGAAAATTCAATCCAAAAATAGAAGTAGTGCATGAGAATAAGAATCGATTAAACTAGCTGATTACCTACTTAGCTGTATATCTTTATATTTTACTGATTCGTTAGAGG